GGGACGTGGACCGTCCTTCGTGTGGACAACTTGTCGGCCATCACTGTCGCGGAAGGCTTGGGGCTGAAGGGCAACCTCAAGCACATGGAGCGACGTTATGCCTAGCTACAGCAGATGGTGAAGCGTGGGAAGATTGCGCTGAAGTACATCCCTACCTCTTAGCAAGCGGATGACTTCTTCACGAAGGGGATGCACTTTCCGGCCTTCAACCGGTGCTCCGTCGCAATCGGCCAAGTTCATCTGGCTGACGTCAGCGACGGTGACGATGATGTGCAGCAGTAGGTGCCGCGCCCTTCTGCACAGCTGGTGCAGGGAGCGGCGTGCTGTGAGTTGTGTTCACGCCGAAGGATTTTCCCCGTGTAATCTATCCCTTGTTCTGGGTGGACCTTATGCGTAGGATGCCCAAGCGTGAGCGCGGCAGGGGAGTGTTGAAAGAATCTGGCCCCGCCCTCGCATGGGCAAAACTGACTTCGTGGTCAGGTGTGCAGGAGGTGCAGCCGACCTTCGGCAGGAGTACAAGGGTGGCCTGTAAAGGAGGTGTACTAGGGCATCCATGCAAGAGTAGCTGGAGCATCCACGAGTAAATCACAGACGTCCCGTGCACACATACAAGTGGCGCAGCTGGTGTAGAGGTTCGCGGGTGTTCATCTGCGCAGGGTCGCGTCTGACCCTGCGCAATGTTGCGACTGGACAAGCGAATTTTGGCCAGAAATTCGAATGTGCCCTAATTTTGACCAATGAGGAGCTGACATTTTTGAATGACGACCTAGGTGGTCGACGAAGGTCGTCGAACCCCGACGACGAAGGTCGTCGACCCGCGACGACGAAGGGCGTCGACGCGCGACGACGAAGGTCGTCGACCTACGATGACTAAGGTCATCAACCTACAGGGTTACCTGCCCAACGAAGCTCTGCGGAGGGTCGCGAACGACGTCGAGGTTGCTATGGCGAAGTCGACCGACGTGGCAGCACGTGGTCGACGTGGCTCATCATGTGCAACCGTCAGCATATGGCTGACAACCTGCGCAATGTGCGCGATAGTGCACGTCATGCATAACTGTCTACGAGCACCTGCGAAGTAGGTGCTTGCACATATGCTTAGAAACACCTGCGGGTGCAGCATTGGCAGGCCGCCATATGCAGCGTTGGCAAGTCGCGTACGAGCTGCGTTGGCGGACCACATACTTGCTACGTTGGCAGGTCGACGACTTTGTCGTGCTGGCAATCGACCTGTCTGAGCACTAGCAAACCTTGCAAGTGATGTAGTCAATCTTTGCCAGTGCTTGTTCTCATTCTGAACTCTGTATTCTCAACTGTCCTTAGTGAAACTCTTGCTGTTTTGCCCTACGAAAACACAAGTCCTAGAGAACACAAACAGAGCTACGATCACCCTGACAACTCGTGCCAACCCTGTAATCTAGCTCCCACCGTTGTAGAGTTAATCTCCTCAACAGTAAGACGCAGTCATGCATATAAAAATGCTACGTCTAAAGGCGCGGTGGCGTTGGCAGGCGCAGCCGACAGGTGCAGCTGCAAGCGCAGTGGCAAGCACGCAGCATGGCGTGGCGGCAGACACGCCGTAAGGCACGACGGCGGGCGCACGGGACGCGCGACAGTGCGCGGTGGGCCTGGCAGGGTGCGGATGGGCGCGACAAAGTGCGACAGGGCACGCGGCAGGCGCGCAACAAATGCGCAGCGGGCGCGACAGGGCGCTCGGCGCGACAGGGTTCGTGACACGCGATGCAGGGCTCAGCAGGGCGTGCAGGGGACGCATGGCGGGGACAGCAGGGCGCGGTAGGGTGCGCGGTAAGGTGTGGCTGGGCACACAGCAAGCGTACGTTTAGGCGCGGAAGGGTGCGATTGCGGGACGCGACGGTAGGGTGCGATGGGGCTTTTGAGAGAGGGGGGGGGGGGGGGAGGGCTAGGGGGCTGTTAAAAGGGCCGCTAGGGGGCCATTAATGTGAGACGGGAGGGGGCGCGACGAGGGCTGTTAGAGGGGAGGGAGGGCTAGGAGAGGGTTCACTAGAGGGGGCCGCAAGTGTTCACAAGAATGGAGTGTTGGCCCCGCCCTCGCTTGGGCAACGTTGACGACTTGATCGGATGTACGGGAGTAGCAGCCGACCGTTCACAGTGGGAGAGCTGCTCGACAGGCATCGTAGAGTTGCAAGGGACCACTGTGGTGCTGCTGCTGACCAGGGAGCTCGACAGCTGCAACTGACTGGTCTCGGCGACAGATGGGACGTCGACCAGGAGGGGCAGCTCGACCGGGAGGCCTCCGTCAACCTGCAGCTCGACCGGGAGGCCTCCGTCGACCTGCAGCTCGACCGGGAGGTCTCTGTCGACCTGCAGCTCAACCAGGGGGTCCCCGTCGACCTGCAGCTCGACCGGGAGCAGTCTGTCGACATGCAGTTCGACCGGGAGGTCGACGGAGCAGTCCGTCAACCTGACAAGTGAGCAGCGTTCGACGAGGGGAGCTCGGCGACAACCGCTAACGAATCTGGTCGACGGAAGGGGTCCGTCGACCAGGGGGTAACTCTACGGGCGTTGTGGTCGACCAGATGCATCTGGTGGTCGACCAGAGGGACCCGGTGGTCGACCGAAAGCACCTGGGGGTCGACCAGAGCATCTGTGGGTTGACCAGGTCGACTGGGTAACCTGCTCGACGAGTTCTGCGGAGGCACGCAAACGTCGTCGAGGTCGCGATGGCGGCAGGCGACTTCGGGCTGGTATCCCGAAATCGGTGTGGCTCGTCAGGCGCAGACAACAGCCAACGGATGCCCAACGAGGCAAGTCGGGCCAATCGTCTGCGCGCACCTGCGAGCGTGCGCATTGCTGTGTTCTACGGGGCAACGCTAGACAGCCGCTCTGCTGCAGCGTTGGCACGCGGTCGACCTGCTCTGTTGGCAGGTCGCCCTTCTGCAATGCTGGCGCGGCTCCTCTACGCAACGCTGGCAGGTGGTCGACCGAGCTGTGCTGGCGGTCGACCAGGCTAGCTGCAGGGTTGCTAGGTGTCTGATGTAGTCATTGTCGCCCTCTCTTGTGCTATCATTCTGTAATTTCGACTTTGCCTAGTGGAAACTCTTGCCGATTTCTCTCGTGAATGTGCAAGCACTAAGGAACCAAGCAAAGCTACGATCACTCCAAATAGTTCGTGCCAACCCCCGTGGTCTAGCTCACTATCGTTGTAGAGTGACTCTCCGCAGCAAGGGCACGAGAAGCTGTTTGGGAGGTAGGATGGGCGGAAACGAGGGACCAATCATAGCCTGATACTATGCTAAGAAATGAAAGAACGGATGATGATGGCATATAAAGGTGGGATATTTATCAACCCTAACCCTCTATCTTACAACTCAACCTAGCCTACAAAGTACACATGCTACTATACCTTCCGGTTTGTACGTTGACTGTGTGCTGCTAGGTTTGGAATTAGTTTGCTTACGCCGAGCTCAATTAGGAGAACTAGATTGAATATATGGACGGGAAAGAAATCCAGGCGTTATACCGAATCATCGATACATGGTTTCACATCCTCCTTCCGCCTTCCTCCCCCCTTGCTCCTCCCCCACCGACCCTCCCAGCATCTGATCAGCCAATCAATTTCCTCGCCTTTCAAGATTTTGCTTGTCGGTGAACCGAATCGAGAGGCTGCGGCACACGAGAAAAGCGACAGACCACATGCTCCCATCTGGAAAATCCCGCGTTCGCCAACTGCTTTCGGCGCATGCAGGCGACATCTCGTTAATTGCTCTCCTGGCTTCTGATCATTCGTTGAATTCACCGTTCTGTGCCAGCAACGCGTCGCGAATTCCAGCTCACGGCTCGTCCTGGAAATTGTCCCAAAGCGTGTGCGCTTTTCACGTCCCTCCCACATTCTAGCAGACCAGTCACCACACCACGACCACACCATCACAACACCACCATCAAACCACCACAACGCCAAAATCCATTCTTGCGGTGCAGTCAAGTCAACCCCCCCTCCTCCCCTCTCCCCGCTCCCCCTTCCCCCATCGTTCCCCCTTCCGTCCCCATCTTCCTTCGAGACGAGAATCCTTCCATTCGCACCCCACCCATCCCCACTCCCCCCACCCGTTCCGCGGGCCCCCGAGGATCCATTTCTCCGTAACTACCTTCCGCGCGCACAGGCATCTCCTTCCCCTCCCCTCTTCTCCCTCGTTTTCCTCGTGTTCGCCGCCTTCTTCTCCTGCGCAACCACCACGCTGCTATCCAGGCCACTTTAGGGCGGGTCCAGCGCGTACACTGTCCGTACATTACAGTTCATCCAGCGCGGTAATTTGTAGTGCGTCAAGGTTCAAAACGGTGCAATTTGACAACCGCTGTGCACCGCCTGATATCTTTTCTCACCTCGACAAATGAACTGTATAGTACCTGTAACGTTCGCGCTGAACACGCCCTTGCAGAAACGGAACCATAAACGCAGACATAAATACTTACATTTCCTGTTTTCCTTAGCCCACCTTTCAGCTTACCGGTTCTCCGGGTTCGCTTCCTCCCAGCTTCTTGGTCGTCGCGCAAGCGTCGTTGTTCCTCTCTTGTTTTCACTTAAGCGCGTTGAAACAGAATTACTGCGTTTGGAGCGTCAGGCAAACGCGGCGCCGGCGTGTCTACTCAGTCAATCTGTACGCCTTGGCGAATCCCGACCGAACCCATGGCTGCGTCGCTCAAGCTCGCGACTTCGTTAGTCTCACCCGCCACAGGAACGCGCAGGACGACCGAAATTTCAGCGAAGGAGCTTCTAGGAGAGCAATTGCGGATCGCTTCGAGTTCGATTAGCCTCCGTCGTTCGGCGTCGAGGGATTCTCCTTCGTCAGACAATAATTCCGTGTCGCGAGGGTCCCGCCCCGTAACTTCCGCTGCATTTTCCGTCGCGATAGTTAAACAGCTTCGCGCTCCACCATCATCCAGTCCCAGTGCCTTTGCTCTCGACCAAATCCGGGTGTCAAACGGAAACAGTAAGTTCCGTTCATTATAAACTCGGTTCAATGCTCCCTGCGCCGTCAGTCCGCAATTCCAGCAGTAGGCCGCTGTCTTCTCGCATTATCTTCTATATCTCGTTCCTCACCTTTTGTCCTGTCGTTTTATTTTCAGGGTACACGAGCGAGAAGTCGAGTATCCTCGTTATAGGCTTGAGCGTACACACGGCGCCTGTGGAGCTACGGGAGAAGCTCGCGGTGCCGGAGCACGAGTGGCCACGTGCCATCCACGAGCTGAGCGCGTGTCCGCACATCGAGGAGGCGGCCGTGCTGAGCACGTGCAATCGCATGGAGATCTACGTCGTAGCGCGGTCGTGGCACATGGGGATCCGCGAAGTGACCCAGTGGATGTCCAAGGTAGGTGAGGCGAGTCTAGCCATGTCCCAGGCGAATCTAGACATTTAACGCAGTCAAGTACCGTTACCCGAATGTAGAACCTTCTCTAGCAAACCACCCTACCGCCGCTCCCTCCCGCACACATCCCACCCCTACCCACCCCCCTTCCCCCCCCCACCCCCGCTTTCCCTCCACCCCCCCCCTTTCCTCCCACCCCCGCTTCCCCCCTTTCCTCACCTCCCCAACCCCTCCACTTTTTCCCACTCTCCATTCTCACAAGTATTCCTCCCGGACCAAACCATCCCTCGCCTGATGCATTTTCGTAGTCAACCAAAATAGCCAGTGAGACGCCCCCTCGTTACCACTTCCCTTACCCTCTCCCCCTGCTCTTCCTCTCTCCATCCCCTCGTCTCCCCTACATCACCCCCACAATGCAGTCAAGCGGAGTACCAGCCGAAGAACTCCGCCCGCACCTCTTCATCCTGAGACAACGAGACGCCACCCACCACCTCCTCCGCGTCGCCTCGGGACTCGACTCTCTCGTCCTGGGTGAAGGGCAGATTCTTGCACAAGTCAAACAAGTCTTCAAAACCTCCCAGGGGAACGTGGGGTTCGGCCGTAATTTACACGGGCTGTTTAAACAGGCGATAGAGGCGGGAAAGCGGGTCCGAACCGAGACCAGCATTGCGTCTGGAGCCGTTTCTGTGAGCTCTGCTGCTGTTGAGCTGACTGCCATGAAGCTTCCGGAAAACGGGCTGCGGGACGCCCGGGTGATGATTGTTGGCGCGGGGAAGATGTCCCGGCTTTTAGTTAAGCACTTGCTCTCCAAAGGGTGTGATAAGATGGTGGTGGTGAATCGGACAGAGGCGCGAGTGGAGTCACTGAGAGAAGAATTCCCAGAAGCGATGCTGGTTTTCCGGCCGTTGTCTGAATTGCTTGAAGCAGCTGGTGAAGCAGATGTGGTGTTTACAAGCACAGCTTCAGAGGAGCTGCTTTTCCATCAGGATAACGTGCAAGGATTGCCATTGGCAGGCGAGCTCACAGCAGGAGTGCGTCATTTCGTGGACATTTCCGTTCCGAGAAATGTTGGAGCGTGCGTCGGGTCTGTGGGTCATGCACGGGTGTACAACGTGGATGATCTGAAAGAAGTCGAGGCGGCTAATAAGGAGGACAGGAAGAGGAAGGCGCTGGAGGCTGGGGTGATCATAGAGGAGGAGATTCAAGCGTTTGAGGCGTGGAGAGACTCGTTGGAAAGTGTTCCAACAATTAAAAGGTTAAGGGAGAAGATCGAGAGCATTCGGCAGGCAGAAGTGAACCGGGTTCTGGCGAAGCTGGGGCAAGATGTAACGCCGAAGCAGAGGAAGCTACTAGAGGAGATGAGCCGAGGGATGATGAACAAGATCCTGCATGGGCCGATGACGCATCTGAGATGCGAGGGTGGGGATGTGAGGACAGTTCACGAGATTCTGGAGAATGTGAATGCGATCGGGAGGATGTTTGACCTGGCTGCTGATGAGATCATGATCCCTCAGCTCACTGTGGCATCCAGTTCCAATGCTAGGTGAAGCTTCAGGTGGCTGTCTGCATATCCGTCTAACTTAGTGAGATGGTAATCGACCAGTGATGCGCCGTAGCTGCTGACAAGGTGCAAGCAGCTCCTCTTGGATGCCAGTTCTGTTCTTGATTTATTTGATGTGAATGTGAAAGGTCAGCTGCCACCAACTGGTGAAACCCTTGTTTAACTCGTTACATTAGGTGAGATGTGTCTATTCAGAAGATTATGCCCACCTTATCAGCTCTAAATGCCGGTATCATGCAGTTAAAAAGAGGCTTACTACAGAACTGTACAGGCGTCTGTTCGGCATCCTGAGTCCAGGAGGAACTACTGAAATCAAGCTGCTTGCACAGCAGCAGCACCAGCGCTTACATCGTCAGCTACCCCTCTCTTGTTTTGGAGATCCTTGACTGCTGCCTTGATCGCATCCTCTGCCAACATACTGCAATGCAGCTTCACTGGGGGCAGAGACAGGTGCTTGGCGATGTCACTGCAGAAAAGTGGGTTGAGAAAGAAACGGAGGACAATGTTGAAGGGGGGAGAAAAGAATACGGTGGGATGCAGCCCAGAATCAAGAAACCAGACTCAGATGAAGAGATTGGCAAAGCGAAGGTATTCTATCATACGGTAAGGTTCCCGAGGACTAACTCAGTGGTGCCTGTGAATTGGACGGGCCCGGACAGGCAGAGTGGTATGGTACTAGATAAGGTAGGTATGCTGGACAAGGTAGACAGGAAAGAAGCGCTGCGTACCTGTTCTTGATTGTCATGACCTCGTCAACTGACTTCCCCTTCACCCATTCCGTGGCTGCAGAGCAAAGATCAATAAGAGCACGTAAACACGGAGGAATAAGACAACAAATGGGTAATTCCAACCAAGAAGATTCTTTTCACAACGGAAGTCAGTTGCATCTCGCGAGCGTTACCTGAACACTTGCATCACTGCCACTAGAGGCACTCAGCTTAGCAGGCAACACGGAATTCAGCAGACAGCATGCGACGAGGCCATCGACTTACCGACGGAAGAAGAGGCAATCGCCGATCCGCACCCAAAGGTCTTGAAGCAGGAATCAACAATCTTTCCGTTTTCGTCGACCTTGATTTGCAGCTTCATGACGTCACCGCAAGCCGGAGCACCCACCAAACCTGTGCCGACATTCGGGTCGTTCTTGTTGAAAGATCCGACGTTACGAGGCTTGTTGTAATGGTCAACAACGTTCTTGTGGTAACTACGTTGTAGAAGTGTTACCAGTCGAGTTTGCGACCGTGTACCCGCAACCCGCAGCATCTTCGTTTGTATTCGCGTGACTATACACAAGAAATAGGATCGACACGCCTGTAAGACGCTGGAGAACTATCGAGAACAGTGACAAACACGAAGGTCTACTCAGCAACCAGATAGAAACCGTGAACCCGAAGAGCGGAAGCTAGTTAACGACAGAAGTCAGGAGCGGGAAGTGAAGTGGCCTACAAGCCACGAATCTTTTAGAAGCTCCTACCGTTGGAAGCTAGGGAGGGAATAAAGAGCAATGATTCTGCAGAAGCTCTGCAAACATACACACAGCATAATGGTGGGGTGCATGCACAAGTGATGGGGTGCATTCACCACGCTGGAAGATGCTCAATCGCTCTGTAACGTACTAAACCGTGCGTAAACCAATCAAATGTGCGACGTTTGGGTCCCTTGGCGGATTCTCTGGTGTAAAGACAGAACTGGGGAAGGAAAGGTGTTCCGTCTAGAAGACGGAGCAGGTGACAGAAACAGAAGAATAACCAGAGTAAAATGTATCTCGCGCAAATTCCTGTCTTCCGTCTGTCTCTGATATTTCTGTAGGCTTCCTTAGAAGTTTAGCTCGCTATACGTAAAACTTTTCTTGTATGCGAATGCATATACATCAGCAATCACTGACTGTGTACGGGGTGTAGATTGATGTGCTCCGTGGGGACACGTTACACCTAGTTCTCGATAATTGCACACCCCTACCCTTTTTTTCGTATGTACCCTTTTTGGACTTTGTCTTGATGCGATGGACACCCAGAGATTGAGGGACTATTAGTAAACAGCTGGCAGGTGCCTCTAGAAAGAAACTCGCACTTCAAATTCTGGGTTAGGGTTTAGTTAGGTTTGGGTTCTCTTTTATATTCTTGGTGCACCCCGAAAGTTCGAGAAGTACGTCGGACCCTCCTCCGCGGTTTTCCTAAACGTTGGCAACTACCCTACGAAAACGATAGGGGTAGGGTAAGTACCCGGAGATGTACGATTAAGGGGTGTTAATTAATCGAGAACAGGATGTAGTTGGCCCTGCCCGTCGAGGGTTTTGGGCTGTGTCGGGGTTTACGCCGAGCTAGAAAATTCCACCGCGACCCAACAGAAGTTTCCCTTTCTTGCGTCACTCAGCATGACGTAAGTGTCAGTCCCTTACAGTACTCCTAAAAAAAGAGCCCCGATCACATTTCCATCTCACACATTTACCAGTTTTGTTGCGTTTTCCACTCCACCATTGGTACAGTCTGATCCGCCATAAGTTTTTTTACGATCATTGCATCTCTTCCTGAACCACATCTCCAAGTGCTGCGACAATCCCAAGGTCTACCTTGTCAACACCAAATCCTGTCAGAACCACACTGCCGGGCATCAGGGATCACCCATCAGGGAGAAAGCTTCTCCACTCACGTAACATTTTTGGTTTGCGCTGTCCCCGTGCCAAGCCCTTTCCAGCAGTCATTCCTTGATAACTCCGCTGCAGCACCTACTTGTCAAGCATTCGCTGCTGGCTGCACGTGAATCTCGGGATCTGGCATAAGATCGTGACATCGCCGGCTGGAACCTGCTCTTCGCGCTCCTACGTCGTTGATACCTAAGAAACGATATCCTGTCAGCTACGACCATGGCTACCACCAGCAATGCGCTCGCAGGCCACCATGGCCTCAGGCTTGGACGTCTTCAGAAGGACCAAATGGCTTCGCTTCTATCGCTTCGCCATGATCGGAAAGCTTCGTTTTCCGGATCAGGGAAAATGCAAGTATGCACATGTCTCCCTCCTTGTTAGGATCAGGGATCAGGTTTGAAAAATCATTGTGGAAATCTTTTCATCGCTGTATCGCAATGCAACGTCTCGTCGTGCATTTCGCCTTTTCAATCTTCGGTAAATAACAATATGCATGTTTCATTCGCTCCCACGACTATCCAGTCCCTCGCTTCCCTTCACTCGTTCATGGTTCCCCTGTTTTCTCACTTCGCTTCGTTTCCCTCACATTTCCTCTGTGTGCAGGCGTCCACATCTCGGTGCCTTCGCCTCGTAGCCACAGCTACAGTCCAGCAGTCCCAGGCCACCAGGTGCGGGAATGACCATTCTTTTCTCCCTCTCTGTTCATGTGTGTGCATGTGTGTATCATGGTCTCTTCGCGCCTGATCTATTTGATCAGACAGTGGTGATTAGGCCTAGTTTTTTTCCTACCAGATTTTTTTTGGCTACTTCCAAGCACTCTGCACACTCTCGTTTCTTTACGCGTATTCCTCTTCTGCCGTCATGGGCCCCGATTCTTCCCTTACCATCCCTTCCCCCACCCACCTTCCCCCTCTCCCCTTCCCCTTCCCCCCACCCCCCCCTCTTCTTGGGCCATCTCCGCGCGTTTCTGCTTTGCCAATGCAGCGCCCAGTCGCCGTCGTCGCTAGCGGTGAAGGAGGACGCGCCGATCAACTTCGACGATCTAGGGTTCGGGCTGGTGGAGACGGACTACATGTACGTCGCCAAGTGCGTGCGCGGCGAGGAGTGGCAGCACGGTGAGCTGCGGCCGTACGGCAACCTCGAGATTAGCCCCGCCGCTGGCGTGCTCAACTACGGCCAGGTGGGAAGGACAGGGCGTGTGCGAACACCTAGAATAAATGCAAGAATCCCATCAAGCTATTTTTAACAGTCACGAAAAATCTCGAAATTAGCCCCGCTGCTGGCGTGCTCAACTACGGCCAGGTGGGCTACGGAATGGCGTATGAATTACGAGGAAACAATAGAGGAAGGATGGATAAATTTAGGGTAGGTGCCTGGTGACATGCTCAACTACGACAAGGTCGGCTACGAGGAGGTGTGGGAAAGCACTAGAGAAGAAAAGAGTAACAATGGAGAAGTTTACTCTGAGTACTCGAAGTGAGCCCGGCTGCTGGCGTGCTCAGGTAATCCGGTGGTCTGAGCATGCGTGCTCCTCTCCCTGCCTCCCTCCCCATCCTTTCTTCCCCTAACGCCCCCCTCGCACTCGCATAATTCCCCCCTCCGCTCCCCTTTCCTCTTTTTTCCTCTTCTGCCCCTCATTCCGCCGCCTTGCCTTGCAGGGCGTGTTCGAGGGCATGAAGGCGTACCGCACGGCGGACGGGCGCGTGCTGCTCTTCCGCCCGCGGGAGAACGCGCTGCGCATGCAGGAGAGCGCGGACCGACTCAGCATGCCCGGGCCCCCCGTGGAGCAGTTCGTGCAGGCCGTGAAGGACACCGTTCTGGCGAACCTGCGATGGGTGAGCCAAGAAGGGGATGAGAGAGGATAGAGGGGCAGTGGAGGAGATCACGGGTGCATGCAGGAGAGCGCGGACCGGCTCACCATGCCCGGGTCCCCCGTGGAGCAGTTCGTGCAGGCCGTGAAGGACACTGTGCTGGCGAACCTGCGATGGGTGACCAACTGGGGGGTGGGCTAGGGAGAGCAGAGACAACTGCGGGTAGGGAAAACGTTTGGTAGCAAGGCACACAGATGGGCTTGTGTGCCCGCCCCCGTGGAGCAGTTCGTGCAGGCCGTGAAGGACACTTTGCTGGCGAACCTGCGATGGGTGAGAGAGAGGGGGTTAGGGAGAGCAGGGGAAGCTGCGGGCGGAGAGAATGCCTGGTATGCAGGAGGGCACACGGATACATGTGTATGCCGTGGGGAACACTGTGGGTCCCTACCGGTGGGGAAGTTCATCATGGCCGTGGAGGACACTGTGCCGGCGAACCTGCAATGGGTGGCCACCTGGTGAACAGAGGGGCTGCGGAGAAGCGAGAAAGTGTTCGGAGCATGGGGCATGCAGGAGAGCACTGAAGTTAGTTCAGTGCAGACGGTGGAGGACTCTGTCCTGGCGAACCTGCGATGGGTTTGCGGTGTGTGTGGGGAAGTGGGTGGAGGAAGGGGGCAAGAGAAGGGGAGTTAAGAGAGGGGTGCTGGGAAAAAATACAGAAGGAACACAAGTAGAGCACACACAGGCTTGCACGCTCACTCCGCTTCTCCTCGCACCCGCCCCCCCCGCCCATCACCACCTCACACCCTCTCCCCTGTCCTCTCTCCCCCTTCCCGGCCAACCAGGTGCCGCCATGTGGCAAGGGCGCGCTGTACATCCGGCCGCTGCTGGTGGGAACGGGACCAGTTCTAGGGCTGGCGCCAGCACCCGAGTACTCTCTCCTCATCTACGTGTCGCCGGTGGGGAACTACTTCAAGGGCGCCACGCTCACGCCCATCGCCCTCAAGGTGGAGGAGCTGTACCACCGCGCTGCTCCAGGCGGTACTGGCAGTGCCAAGGCCATTGGGAACTACTCCCCGGTGAGTGTGGTGCTCAGCGGTGCTGTGAGGTGAGTGCTTCTGGTGGGGAACTGCTTCAAAGGCGCCACGCTCACGCCCATCGCCCTCAAGGTGGAGGAGCTGTACCACCGCGCTGCCCCCGGTGGTACTGGCAGTGCCAAGGCTATCGGCAACTACTCCCCGGTATGAGAAGGGCCGTGATGTGCTGTTTGGTGCAATGCTGTGCGGGGCTCACGCCCATCGCGCTCAACGTGGAGGAGCTCTACCACTGCGCTGCTCCTGGCGGTACTGGCAGCACCAAGGCCATCGGCAACTACTCCCCGGTATGAGAAGGGTCGTGATGTGCTGTTTGGTGCAATGCTGTGGGGTGCTGTGCTGTATGGTGCTGTACTGTACTGTGCTGTGTTATGTGTTGGAGAGGGGAATGACGGGAGGGGAGGTAATTGAAAGGGGGGCTACTGAAATGAACGCATCTCTTTGGGAACATACTGTTGTCACCACCCTCCTCTGCTTCTCCCTTTCACCCCCTTTCCCTCTCCTTTCTCTCCCTCCTTTCTCTCCCTCCTACTTCTCCTGTGTCTCAGGTGCTCAAGACTCAGATTGCAGCGAAACAAGACGGGTTCTCAGACGTGGTCTATTTGGACGCTCAAGAGAACAAGTACGCAGTTCACCTTGCTCCTGCTGTTTCTACTCTTTCTGTTGCTGTTGCTGCTATTGCTACTGCTTCTGCTGCAGCTGGTAGTGCTGTTGCTGTTGCTGTGTGTGTATACTTATTGTACCGTCCCGTACTGTGGCCCCCTCCCATCCCCTCCCTCCCGAATGTATTTGTGCTGGGTGACCTGAGGTTTTTTAACCTTTTCTCTCTGCCCGTGCTGTGTGCTTTTCTGTCACACAGGTACATCGAGGAGGTGTCCTCGTGCAACATCTTTGTGGTGAAGGGCAATGTCATCTCCACACCCCAACTATGGGGCACTTTTCCTGAGGCGACTCAAATTACTTCTCCATGCCGTGTGTTTGTGTTTTCTTTCCCAGGTACATAGAGGAGGTGTCATCGTGCAACATCTTTGTGGTGAAGGACAATGTCATCTCCACGCCTGACCTACGTGGCACAATTCTTGCAGGCATCACCCGCCGCAGCATCCTTGAACTCGCTCACTCTCTGGGCTACAAGGCAAGTGCTGTCGAGTTTGAATGGAGAACGAGGAGTCAACTCCTTGGTCAGCGATCTAGTCTAGTTACATTATGGCACCATTCTCGCAGGCATCACCCATTGCAGCATCCTTGAACTTGCTCACTCCCTGGGTTAAAAAAGTGCCAGCCAAAACACCTAAACCCAAATTACAAAATTGCTATTCGCCCCACCTTACCTCTACCTCCTGTAAATCACTCTCACTGAATGCCCCATTTCCGCGACCACACCCACCCTCTCATCCACACCCACACCACTTACAGACGGAGGAGCGCCAGGTGTCAATTGAGGATTTGCTGGCAGCAGATGAAGTGTTTTGCACGGGGACTGCTGTGGTGCTCTCTCCTGTGGGCACTGTGACATTCAGAGGGAACAAGTAAGTTGACTCCCATGCATAGTATGTGAAAGTTTATGCGAGGAGTTGGAGTTGTGCAGCTTTCCCTTCATTTGGCCAACCATGATCTTTCCAACATACTCATCTGACTGACTGACCTGACCCCTTTCTCCCATTCACCCAAACCAGGACCACGTTTGGTGATGGAGAAGCAGGGAAGCTTTCACAGCTGCTGTATGAACGGCTCACGAACATTCAGAAGGGCGTGGATGCGGACACGATGGGATGGACTGTTCAGATTGCGTGATTATCAAGGCTTTCTGCATGCTTGATTGTACCCATGTGTTATCAATTGTAGTCAAAGGTCTTGCATCCACAGAAGAGGGGGTCTTTTGAAGGCACTAAAAGCTATTGTTATAGTAGGATCTGGATGTGCGTGAGTGCAATGGGGAACGTACCCGGTGATAACAAGGAATGCAAGTTTTTCAAGATGCCTTTCCCTTAGAGGAGCTTGTCATGTGAACCCATGGAATCATATAGGCAGGCCCTGCTCGATAGGCAGCCGAATTATTGGCCCTGTTCGATAGGCAGCCACCTCCTTGCAGGGCTAGTGTTAGGCTAGCGTTTGCAAGAGGGTTCGGAGAAAATTTTGAAGGGCTAACCACGCCCCCCCAAGATCGGAAGCAGCCCATCCCGAGATCGGAAGGAGGGGGTCGTCTCGGCGATGTTGCAACCCCTACTTCCACCATCGTCATCGTGGGCAGGGTCCAAAATTTTACATCGCACCCCACGTGAACCTGGGTAAATCAGAGGTGAAACAAAACCCTGGTGTTTGGTATGGTTGTGGGAGGAGGGGGACTTTTTCAGGGCAGAGATGGGTGAGGTTGGAGCATGGGCCCTGCTGAGAAAACTTACGTGGGGTATGGGGTGGGTATCCCCTTCCTTTTGGAAACCTAGCCTATCCCTTGGCCAACCTCCATTTTGGGGGTGCGAGGGCTGGGCTAGAGCTAGAGCTTTCGGGTGGTATGATTTTGAAGGGTTAAAGTAGCGTTCGACAGGCTAACACTAGCCCTTCAGGATACAGAGCGTTAAAGCCCCGTGACATCAAATTACGGGCTGACCGTGGAAAAAAACCCAATCACGAAACCACGCGACTTTTTCCGCGGAAGGGCTTGCCTGCCTATTTAACAGGGCCATTGCTGGGCTAGGGTTAGGCTAGTGCTTGGGGGGTTTTAGGAGCACCTTCTCCTGGGCTAAACCCCCCCCCCCCCCTGCGCCTCCCGATATCGAAAGGAGTGGGTCGTCAGTGCACTGCTGGGACTCTTACCACGTTGTGGCGGAGTTCCGAGTGCGTTTGCCCCATGATCCGAGGCCTTGGATCCGTGTGTTCCAGATTCCGAAGGGCTTGGGCGCAAGGCTCCGCCGCATACGACACGGCCAGCCGCTCACAATTCCGCGCCCACCTGACCGTGAAAAATGTGTTCCAACCAACCTGCCCTGACCCTTTGTGCCAGTGATGTTTGTCGCGAATGACATTTTTCGCCATCGTAACTCTTTGGCCGACAAGTGACGACCGCCGGTCGCATGGCCGGTTGCGACCAACTGGTCTTCCTTGCGTCGTTATATGCTTTAACTCGGTTTTTTTTTTGCTGCCACCTTAAAGCTGCAGCACGTGTGTTCCTTTATACCTTTGATCTTATGTGTTTTATAAATAACATGAGTACAAGTGTAGCATCCTACGTTTGCTCATTGTGTTTTATAGTCATTGTTTACCAACTGTAGGTGTTCTGCACACGTGGCCATGGCAACAGTTGTTGTCAGAGTCCCAAGGCTGCAAGAGCCAATCAGCGTCTAGTAGGACCATATCCCAACTGTTGTTTTTTTGGCGGGAGAATCATCCAGCCCAGGGTTGGATGACCAGATCTGGACACGGGCTTCTGTGTGTGGTGGATGGGTATGAATGGATGTTTTCGTGCTCATTTGCTTCTTTTCATTTGCATTTCATGCTCCGCAAGCTCTTTGAGATCTTTTCATCCAGCACCTGTTAGTCCACCAGCGTAATCTTTTAAGCCTGCTTGGCCCACTGGCAGAACATTGGCGTCCTCGACATAGTGACGTAGGTCGTATAGAGTGGGTTTTTTTTTTTTGGGTCAGCCCGGTTAGGATAACTGCGGTCGTACTTGTTAGGTCGCATATGTAGGCGCAGATGTGTGTGGTATAATATTTTGTCGGTAGAACTGTTTGTACTTGCCCGGAACAATTGTCGTAGGTCGTCCGCTCTTGTAGGCGGACATCTTCGACGTTAGGCTTCTTTTATCGGTAAAAGTATTCGCTCCCAATCCATAATATCGTCGAACCCACGAAAGTTATGTACAAGCATAAGGGTTCCGTAGATGATTATATCCGTATAATGGTAGGAACTTATTTTCGTTGTTTCGTTGTAGAGAATTAAAGCGGTAAAACAAAGTGTGACAGAGCTATACGGTACGGGACAGTCAAGCGACCCTGTATACGCAAGTTGTAGGCGCAGATATATTTAAACGCAAGTTGTAGGCGGTGTTCGAAGACCAATGTGCAGACGTCTGAAGCACAGACTCTCTTACGCCTTCTGCGCTTAGCCCACTTAGCATTCTGCCTATGTTATCTGCACACTTGCGAATCGTTACCACCTACCGCGTCTGACACCATCCAATTCTTTCGTCTAGTCTCGGTTGCTAGCTAATAAATTAGGAATCTGTGAATGGCCGACAGCTCGGTCCACTCTCGCCCCATGGCAGCCCAGGGCGCAGAGGATGGAGAAGAAGACCTGGAGGACGTTGAAGATACTGACCAAGACTACGCACAGGATCGCGAGAACGATAGCGAGTTTGAGGCGACCGAGGAGGATTTGTTTCAGGGTGGTCTCTACGAACCATCCGTCCGGATTCAAGTCCAGGGGAGTGAAGAAGAGAGTGAAGGGCCGGGAGGCGATGGAGTGCGCCCACGACCCGGTGCACCCGAAGAACGGTACGAGGAGGATGGAGATCACTCTGACGCAGAAGAGGAGGGAGAATCATCGCCGGGACGACGACGACCTCCCGATTCTGCGAGCCATGTCGAGCAGGCTGCGGCCCCCGGAAATGCGCAGCGGCAGACCGACGTTGCGGAAAAGGAGAGCAGGATCCGGCGTTCAACAATCCCGCTTCGACTGATAGAGGCCGGGACGAGAAGGCACTATTGTTTCCACTTTCTGCACTTCAAGTGGTGGGTGATAATCTTCATGGCAACTATGGTAGATGTCCCTGTGGCAGATAGCCTTGCTCCCTCTCTGCATGACGAAGTTGGGTTTCATATGAGCAATAACTTGGGAAACGATGGGTGGTCGTGCAGCTCTGATGAGTGGCAGATTCATCTGCACGGGCCGCGAATCACGGAATGGAGGCTCGGCCGATACATCGAGTATCTCTTCTGCGAAACTGACCAGCAGGCAAAGTTTTTGCGTGGAAAAATGCGGCCAGACGTCGAGAAATATGTGGGGAAGGAGGCAAAGGGGTGCACGGCTTCAATGATCAATGCAAAGATGAACGCAATGGGATGCCTTGCCAGGTGCGAGGCGAGGCTCTACGGCTTCTCCATCACACTGACCAAGGACTGGATCAAGGATGCTCGGGATTATCTCAAAGTCAAGCTGAAGGATCTGAACGACGAGCAAGTCGCGTGAGTAACATATACGTGTGCTTTCTGTTTGTGTGAATGTTGTTGTACATGGTTTACATAATTACTGTGCTATTCTATGCAGGGATGGTCGAGATCAAACCCGTGGATCAATTGGTGATTGCTATACGGGAAGCCAGTATAGGACGCTGCATCTTACTGTTCTGCGAAAAGAGCTCCTAGAGATCTGGTGGCGGACGCCTCCGTCACAAATCTCGCTTCCTCTCTGGAAGGCTCTGCAAGTCCCGGTTATGATGCACCTCGGACACCAATTTCTCGGAAGAGGGTGCAGCATTCGAAAGATTCGACTTGGGAACCTGTTTGTCCGCATGACGCGGAGCACATCACACCTCGACGACTATCTGGACGTTTTCGTACTCGTCGTTGTTTCCAGGAAGTCGAAGACCAACCCCAACAACAAGCTGAGTCATCAGTTTCTTGCAAGGCATAGGGACTGGCGGCTCTGCGGAATGGGCCATGTGTTCCTGTGGCTTTATTTCATCTACGACCTCGTTCCTCTGCGCTACGGCCCCGGTATCATCGAGCCTCTCGACTTTTCTGAACCGATCTTGTGGACGAAAGCGCACCTCTTCTTTTCTTTGAAGAAGGGCGACCAGGGAAAGTAGAAGCAAGACGAGATGCACTACAAAATGCATAACACCTGGATTAAGTGGGCCATGACGAAGGCGAGATGGATTCTGAGCAAGGTAACACATGCATTCCGCAGATCCGGAGCGCAACAACTCCATGACGAGGGTTGCTCCGACAACGATATCGGCACTCTGGGCGGATGGGTGCAGGGGGAGTTGCGGAGGTGTTATGTGTTCGGCATACCGTTCAAGCCGGTTTGGCTGCTGGCAGGATTCAGCGGGGATCGTGGAGACTACTACATCGGCAGAGTCCGCGCCAAGCTTCCGCGACATAAGGATAAGGAGAAGGATGAGTGGTTGCAGCTCTTGGATCTCTTGAGGCTTCACATTTTCCCCTGGGTCGAAGAGGGTTGGAAGAAGGTACGTGCTAGTGTACAGTCTTCGCGTTCGTAGCTTAATTTTGATACGCAATTATGAACCGTCCCATTTCTCCTGCATACTCGTCCCGTCATGTCGAAGAATGGAACGCTGCACAGACCGATCCGCTGAAGAGGCACTATGCGGGGGCGAGGTTCCTAGACACCCTCGCGAGCATCGGACGCCTCGTTGTTGCACAGGATCTGGCGATGATGTGGGCGTTCTGCCATCAGCACGGCGTGAGAAACCCGCGGTGCAATTGCGAGAGGCATCCATATGTGCAGATGAGCCCCTTGTGCAAGCACCCGCTGTTCCAAAAGTGGGAGTACCTGGTCGCTATCTCTCACTTCCAGGGCGAGAAGCTTCGGGCAACCGGCCAAACCACCGCCAAAGCAGTAAGTGCCTGCTATTAGTGGTAGAGAGGAGTTATTCGTTCATGCTGAGTTCTGCCGTGTTGGTTTCTGCAGGACGCTATCTTTCGCACGACCGCAGAAGAGAAGCTGCATAAGATGCACCTCACCGCCAATATGCTCAGGGAGGAGCTTGGGATTTTGAGAGGATGTGAAATGCAGTTGGCGATGGAGAACGCTGAACTGAGGGAGAAACTCGCCGCTGAGCGAGAGGACAAGGCTCGGGTCATTGCAGAGTTCGAAGCATACAAGAGGTCTGTTGCGGCCAGGGATGACGTGACAAACACCTCTGCAGAGATCGACGGATCGTCGAAGAGCGCGGGAACAGGAGGAAACCAGGCAACGGACGCATCCAAAGCACCAGTTGCCGTCGAAGAATTCTTCGTCGTGGTCGTTGTGTCTTGGCGCGAAGCCACCACTGTTGTTGCTGCCTGGAAAGTGTGGGTGCAGCCAAGCCTCATCATGGGCGGCCGGTCACTGCGCGAAGTCTTTGCAGAGTTCGACCGGTATAAGAAGAAGGACAAGAATTCCAGCTTCATCACCGCATATTCCCGGTTCGCTGTCAAAGGTACGCCCGGGATGGCTGTGGGTGCATGCGAGCGAAAGATGCGTCGCGTGCATCGTGTCATGGTTTCCGTGGAGACGCTAAGAAAAGACAGCTCCGAGGCGGCGACCGCAACGGCCATTAAGCTGCTGGACGAGGTTTTACTCGTGTGCAACTTCACGGAATTCACCAACGGCTTGGCTGTGCTGCATGAGACTCCGACCATCAAGAAACAGAAGACCGGTTCGTCGACGGAAAAGAGGACCGTCAACGACTTGGCGCAACGCAGAGTGGGCTGGCTGTTAGTCAAGAAGGGCCTTCACGACCAGGAGTGGGCAACTTCGCTGTTTGGGGATGATGAGTGGGAGGAGATCCACAAGGAACACATGGCGCAGGAGAAGGTGGAAGAGGAGAAACAACGAACCGCTGCGGCGAAGAAGGCGGAACGGGAAAAGGCGAAGGGCGAAGCGTCGAAACGCAAGGAGCAGAAATGAGGGGGCATGTACCTTAAGGGTGGGGCGGTTTAGTTATTTGGGTACTTTATTCCGGTTGTACTGAATATGCACTACAGGCACTTGTTGTCTCTGTAGAAGCCCGATTTGGGGCTTGTATGCCACCTTCTTCCCTGGACGCGCTGTTTTTCGTAGAATGTTTTTCTGGTGTATGCAATGAAGCACACATGGATGGTATACACCGGGCGAAATTCTGCGGAGTCATGTCGTATCGTATACGATGTTATTCTATAGAGCGGCGTCGATGAATTCACTCTCACGATTGTAGATGTGTGTTCTTAGGTCACTCGGTAGACTTTTGCGTGGATTTATTCAGTCTCAGCATATGTTTCTGGGCAAAGGAGTGTCATATTCTACTAGTAGCAACGAAGATGTGGAAACAAAGAACGAGCATGAAATGACTATGAACGAAGTGAGTACAAATAGGAAACCCTAATTGGGTTGTACCCCCTATGGGATACCCCACTATAGCCTACAGAAACAAGTAAGCTATAAGTTCTGACACACCCCCATAGGCAAAGTGGGGGAGAACAAGGGGTCACAAGACCAGTCAAGCAAAGCAAAGCAAAGCTCAGGGTGGATCACAAAGTCACCACGCATTCCGAGCACAAGTTCAAAGGCCACAAGGCCAGTTCACATGCAAGATCATATATAGAGATATACAAGAACAAGAGTATATATATGCGAAAGTACAAGCAAGGTCAAGAGGAGAGCAAGTGAGGCAAGACAGGCACAAGACCCAACTGCGTGCAGCAACGCTGATGATCACAAGGCGCAAGTGCCTTGGTGAAGACATCAGCAGTGTTGGCCTCAGAGGCCACGTACGCAAGTCGCAACTGTCCACGCTGCTGTAGCTCACGAGCAAGAAAGTAACGAAGAGCAATGTGCTTCGTTCTGTGCTCCAGTCGCTGCTCTCGACACAAGGCCAGCATGGCCTTGTTGTCTACGTACAGGACTGGAGGAGAACGAGGCTGCTCTCCAAGGTCGGTCAGCAGGTAGGTGAGCCAGCGTAACTCCTGTGCAGCCATAGCCCCAGCGTAGATCTCAGCCTCACAACTGGAGCCGAGAACAGAAGACGAGCGGGTAGCCCGCCACGAGACAAAGCCGGAACCAAGGCTGAAGGTGTAACCCTGTGACGACCGCTGCGTAGCCTGGTCGTCAGCCCAAGAAGCGTCTGCGTGCCCAGTGAGGACCACTGGACTGCGCCCTCCAAGCACTAGCCCCATGCCCGACGTACTGCACAAGTAGCGCAACACCCTCTTCGCTGCAGCCATGTGCTCTGGTCGGTGTCTCCCAGGAGCAACAAAGCGTGCGAGAATGCTAAGAGGGTATGCGAGGTCAGGTCGTGTGCAGGTCATCAGGTACATGAGGCAGCCAACAAGCTCTGCAAACGGGCCACTCGACTCTACGGACTCATCCGAAGGCAGAGCTGAGAGCGAGTGGCGAGTAGGCAGAGGAGTGGCCTGAGGCGAGGAGTACGTGAAGCCGAAGCGCTGAAGGACCTGCTGCACCATGTGTGACTGAGTCAGGGTAATGGTGCGGCGTGCTCTGTCCCGGGTGATCTGCAAGCCAAGGTAGCTGCGCAGTTCACCCAGGTCAGTACACGTGTGTCTCTTCTGCAGCTCGGACTTCACGTAGGCGAGTCCAGCAGTGTCAGCTGTGGCAAAGACCAAGTCGTCGACGTACACGAGGATGTAGAACGGCGGCAGAGAGGTGTCGGTGCGCAGAAACAGCGACGGGTCGGCAGTGGAAGGAGCAAACCCAAGTGCCGCGAGCGTAGTCCTCAGTGTGTCGTGCCACTCACGTGGCGCCTGGCGGAGACCGTAGACTGGACGCCGGAGACTCCACTGGGTACCAGGAGGGAAAGACCCAGTGAAGCCAGGTGGGCGACGCAGCCAGATCTCCTCGTGCAGGCTGCCCTGCAAGAAAGCTGTGCTGAAGTCGAGAGAGTGCAGCTCGTAGTCACGGTGAGCAGCAACGTGTAGCAGAACCCGAAGAGTGGTCATCTTCGGGGTGGGGGAGAAGGTCTGAAAGTAGTCAACCCCCTGCCGCTGACTGAAGCCACGAGCCACGTAACGCGCCTTGAAGACAGGCGGAGAACCCGGCGGCCGCTTCACCCTGAAAATCCACATGCCACTGACGATGTTCGCCCCAGGAGGGGGAACAGCGTCAACGTAGGTGCCTGTGGACTTCCAGGAAGCCATCTCTGCATCCATAGCTGCCTGCCACTGAGAGGAGTAGGGACCCTCTATCGCCTCCGCGTAAGAGCGCGGAGTCGGGATGTCTGGTGCATCCGGGTCTCCCTCAGGGGCTAGCAGTACAGACGCGAGACGAGGTGAAGCGGCGGCCAGACACTGGAACTCCTCCTGCCTGTCCTCAAGGACGTCCGTGCCAAGGGCACACTCACCCCCGACGGACGGAGGACAGGCGGACTCAGACTCAGTGACAAGACGAGCAGCGTAGTCTAGACGACAGCGCGCAGCAAAGTCGACAAGCTCAGTGACAAGGGCAGACGCAGCAGACGACTCGAAGGAGGGGTCAGTGACAGCAGTAGCCAGGAGACGCGTGACAGTAGGACTGGCAGCACGAAGGGCGTCCGACTCCGGGTCGGCAAGAGCAGGAAGAGAGGAAGCAGGAGGAGAAGGCAAAGGGGCACGCAGAGGAGCAGTGGACGGACGCAGTGACATCCGGTGCGTGCCAGGGACAGGAGGAGGACGCTGACGCGACCCGCGACCACTAGCGCGCTCAGTACGAACAGGCGACACAGGACGAGACGCAGGCTCACGACGCTCAGTAAGACCTCCAGTCGGACCAGCGTAGGGAGAAGGAGCAGGCAAAGGGGAGGCAGGCTGTAGCTGTGGCTGTGACCGGACAGGCTGCGGACCCTCGAAGGGAGGAGGAGGAGGTGTAAGACCAAGAACCTGCTGCAGGAGCGGAACGAAGTACGGTCGGGGCCGCGCGGCGACGCTAGAAACAGCAGGAACAGCACCAGCAGCCCCGGCAGGAGCACCCACTCCAGTAGCACCTCCAGCAGCACCACCAGAAGCTCCAGAACCTCCAGCCGCAGCACCAGGAGCACTGTCAGTCGGGCCGCCAACGGCAGGCTCAGCGCCAACACCCTCAGCAGGACCAGCTCCAGGAGAACTCTCAGACTCAGCAGCTCCAGCACCCACAGTACGAGCGCCGGCGGGGCGCGCAGCAGCAGTACCCTCTGCAGCCGAAGAACCACCAGCACCAGCAGCACGCCTCCAGCGCCCGGCAAACCACTCACGCAGCTCCTGTGGGGAGAGTGGCTCCCGGCGAGACGAAGCACCCCCAGGCACAGCACCTCCAGGCTCAGCACCCCTAGACACAGCACCCCCAGGCACGTCACCCCCAGGCTCAGCAACCCCAGGCTCAGCACCCCCAGGCACAGCACCCCCAGACTCGGCACCCCCAGGCTCAGCACCCCCAGGCTCAGCACCCCCAGACTCGGCACCTCCAGGCTCAGCACCCCCAGACTCCGCACCCCCAGGCTCAGCTCCCGCAGCAGCACCAGAGTCACCAGTGACCTCGACAGGCTCGACCGCGTCTACCTGGGACACACCTGAAGGGGCAGGACCCTGAGGGGGGAGGGGGACTATCGGGGGGGGACCTGGTACCAAGAAGAGCGGGGGCGGGGGGAGGGACGGAGTGCGGTAGGGGAAGAGGCGGTAGTAGGGTACCGACTCGTCGAACGTGACGTCCTGGGAGGACAGAACACGTCGAGAGGTGGGGTGGTAAAACTGCCACCCAGGGGCGTCGGGGGGGAACCCCAGGAAGACGCAGGGAGAAGCACGAGGGGATAGCTTGTCCGCAGACAGGTCGCGAACAAACGCCCGAGATCCCCAGACCCGGAACGCCGACGCATCGCCAACCTTCCCCGTCCACAGCAGGGCTGGGGAGGTCTCCGGTCGAGAGACCCTGGGGTGGAGGTTGATCTGGTGCGCAGCGTACCTGACCGCAAACGGCCACAGAAAATGGGGAGCAGCCGCATGCATCATGGACGTACGAGCGACGTCCATGACCATGCCAATGCGGCGCTCAGCAATCCCATTCTGCTGCGGTGAGTCCGGAAGCGTGAAGGTCTGACGGATGCCTCGCGCACGACAGTAGGCACTCAGGAGGCCAGAGGAGAACTCTCCGCCTCTGTCCGAGTGCAGACGCAAAACAGGGAAGTCAGAGCCAAAGCTCCTCCGAAGCTGGAGACGAGCTGCGCGGATCCAGTCGATCAACACCGCAGTGACCTCACCCTTGCTGCGCAAGGGGAAGACTGTGGTGTAACGCGAGTAGTCGTCAACCACCAGCAGGAAGTAGCGCTCCTGACCCTGTCCACGGACGCGGGCTGGGCCCCACACATCCATGTGAAGCGTCTGCAACGGGGCCTCTGTCGGAGGAAACTGGGAGGAGTGAGGGGCAGCACGCTGGCGCCCCTCGACACAGGGGACACAGGTGGGGCCAGGGCCCGGAGGAAGGGGAGGGAGAGACCGAGGAAGACCAGACACAAGGACTCGCGAGGCCATGCCTCTGAGCCGAAGCAGAGAGGGTGGCCAAGGCGGTGGTGCCAGAGGAGGGTCTCGTGAGACAAACGACGGCACGAGCAGGGGGCAGACTCAGGACCAGACCTGGACGCTGCAGCAAACACCTGACCAGACGAAGTGACCCTACCAGACTCAGCACCTGGAGGAGAAGCAGTGGTCAGAGTGTACAGGCTCGACCCTGGCCGACGTGTAAACGTAGCCAGGTGGCGACCTGTATCCGCCTCCGTGCAGTGGGTCACCCGCTGACGAGCAGGGGTGAACTGGTGGACACCCGCATCCTGGAGGTCAGCACCACTCACCAAGTTCGTCGAGAACGAGGGGAGGTAGAGACCAGTCAGGGTGCCAGAGGGGGCCGCCGGACACGGGAGGACAGTGGAGAAGCGAGACAGGACAGGCCCCCCAGAGGGGTCAGCCAGGGACACCGCAACCGGCCGACTCAGCGGCGTGAGAGTGGTGCGGTCCCGAAAGAAGGAGCGAGACGCTCCAGAGTCAAGGGTGAAGGTGTGAGAGGCCGAAGCCGACACAGTACCTGAGAGGGCAGACTCACCAGCACCTGAGAGCACAGACGCACTGGCACCTAGAGCAGCAGCCTCACTAGTACCTGACGCGGCAGTACCAATGCCCGGGTCGGGCGGGAAACACCGGTAACAGTCATCCTCATCACTACCAATCGCAGCATACATAGCAGAGAGAATAGCATCAAAATCAAGATCATAAATAGCTACACCAGCCCTAGACAGCTCTCCCCAGCGGGGGATCTCAGCTGCCTCCGGAAACTGCTGACGCCAGGCGTCAGTCAGGCGGCCAAAGCAGCGGCGGGCAGTGTGGGCGCCTCCACACCTCTCCCCTGCACGGTCACCGGTGCGGAGAACGTAGGGGCAAGGACCAAGCGCACCACCACGCTGACGCTGCGAGTACCACTCACGGAGCTGCTGAGGGGCGGGGACGGTGCGAGAGCGCTGCTGCTGCTGTGGCTGCTGCTGCGGCTGCTGCTGCTGCTGCTGCTGGCGCTGACCACCCCCGGAGCTGCTCCGCTGGGACGAGCCACTCCGACCCCCGCCTCCACTGCCACCCCCGCCTCCACCGCCACCCCCGTCTCCACCTCCACCTCCCCCACCAGGACCGTCGCTCCCACCGCTCCCACCGCCTCCTCCGCTACCACCTCCGCCGCCACCTCCGCCTCCACCGCCGCCACCAGTACCTCCACTCCCGCCACCACCCCCACCGCCACCCCCACTCCCCCCGCCACCCCCACCGCCTCCTCCACCGCCCCCTCTAGCTCCACCCGCTCCCTTGCCCCCCTTGCCCTTGCCAGCGCGGCGTCTGCCGCTGGGGGCAGACGCCGCGCCGACCGACTCAAAACCAGTGAGGTCGGCCGCAGCGGCAGAGGCGACAGAGGGCAGCAGGGGGGAAGGAGCACACCCCTCAAAGATAGGGGTGCGAGGGTCACCCCGAGAGGCCCCTACAGCGACAATACTCTTCTCAGCCGCTAGCAGGGACTCCTCAAGGAGGTCGACAGTGAGAGCGGTGGGACAGACAGAGAGAAACTGGTCCCTAACGACACGAAGGGACTCAGGGAGACGGGTGACGAGAAAGTAGAGAGTGATGTACATGGGAGGAGGGTTCGCAGCGCGGAACTCAGCAGGAAGGGCAGCGCGGTAGCGGGTGTCACTAGCACGGAGGTGGGTAACGAGGTCAGCGACAGTGGTAAAGGAAGCGAGGTCAGGGAAGAGAAACGGTAGCATGAGGCGGCTAAGGGTAGCGGAGGAAGGGGAGGAGTAGCGTGCAACTACAGCGTCGTACAAGGCCTGAGCGGTCTTGCACTGACTAAAGTGGGCACGCTCAGAGGAAGGGAGGTGGCGACGCACAGCAAGACGTGCAGCAGCATCGCGGGTCGCCCACTTGGAGCGAACGGCAGAGTCAGCATCGGCAGGTGGGGCAGGGACAGCGCCAGAGACAAAGTCAAAGAGAGAGACCTCATCTATCGCATCACACAGTAAGTACAGCTGCAGGTCCTCAATCCAGACGGCAAAGTCAATGGCCCTCCCCTCAGCGTCAAAGGTAAGAACATTGGGGGTGGCCATGACAGCAGCTGAAAATCTCACCGGGCTGGGAGAGGCGGGTAGGTCAGCAGCAGAGGAACAGCAGCACGGCTCCGCAGGCGGCTCGGGCGGCGCGGGCGGCTCGGCGGCGGCTCGGGCGGCGGCTCGGCGGCGGTTCGGCGGCGGCTCGGCGGCGGCTCGGCGGCGGCTCAGGCGGCGGCGGCTCGGCGGCGGCTCGGCTGCTGCTGGGCGGCGCGGGCGGCTCGGGCGTCACGGGCGGCTCGGCGGCGGCTCTGGCGGCTCGGCGGCGGCTCTGGCGGCGGCTCGGCGGCGGCTCGGCGGCGGCTCGGCGGCGGCTCGGCGGCGGCTCGGCGGCGGCTCGGCGGCGGCTCAGGCGGCGGCGGCTGCTGCTGGGCGGATCGGCGGGGCCGCGTAGTAGAGTGGCGGCGGGGCCGCGACCGAAGAGAGCGGCGGGGCCGCTTAGCAGAGGGCGGCGGGGCCGCGACCGAAGAGAGCGGCGGGGCCGCGTAGCAGGGGGCGGCGGGGCCGCGTAGCAGAGGGCGGCGAGGCCGCGTAGCAGAGGGCGGCGGGGCCGCGATCGAAGGGCGGCGGGGCCGCGTAGCAGAGGGCGGCGGGGCCGCGTAGTAGAGGGCGGCGGGGCCGCGTGGCAAAGGGCGGCGGGGCCGCGATCGAAGGGCGGCGGGGCCGCGTAGCAGAGGGCGGCAGGGCCGCGTAGCAGAGGGCGGCGGGGCCGCGTAGCAGAGGGCGGCGGGGCCGCGAGGCAGAGGGCGGCGGGGCCGCGTAGCCGAGGGCGGCGGGGCCGCGATCGAAGGGCGGCGGCGGGGCCGCGTAGCAGAGGGCGGCGGGGCCGCGATCGAAGGGCGGCGGGGCCGCTAGGGAAGGGCGGCGGAGCCGCGAGGGGAAGGGCGGCGCAACGGTCCGCTAGGGGCGACACGACGGGTCGCTAAAAAAAAAAACGCGCCTCGGGGCGCGGTTCGGTGGGCCCTAGAAGCAGTCCCTAGGAGGGAACCTGCTCTGATTCCATGTGGAAACAAAGAACGAGAATGAAATGACTATGAACGAAGTGAGTACAAATAGGAAACCCTAATTGGGTTGTACCCCCTATGGGATACCCCACTATAGCCTACAGAAACAAGTAAGCTATAAGTTCTGACAGAAGATCCTATCCATGACGGTAGATATTATCAATACGTGGGTTTTTCTGCGGTATAGTGGCGTTTCCAATTTGCCTCCAGAATTCGGCGTCGAGGAATTCAATCTCCATAGCAGAAAGGTCTGTGCATAGGAATACCGTATACGTTCTTAACAAGGTGCTCCCTAAGACAAGATGTTATGCGATTGTTTAGCCCCATACTTCTACCTCCTCGTAGAAGCCGAGTATAAAACGTAGTTTAAGTGTCGTAGAAGGCCGTCCTGTCGTCAATTATTTTATTCGCCTGGCCCTCCCTTTGATGGCGAGTTCTATCGGCTGCATTGCTAGCTCCATACGCGCCCTACAAATTTTGCTAGTGTAGTGAAGGTTTGCATAGCAAAAATACATCTCTCATTGTATTGTATACAACAACACCTATATTTATACACAGTTAAATTAAAAAAACGAAAAGGAAAATCTATTTCTACTGCGGTACTAACAAGACCTCCAAAGAACCCGTCTGCCTCTATCACTCCTGGCCGCCAGTGCCGGTGTTCTCCTCCGTCGACGCATCCTTCGTCGCGTTCCCCTTCGCGGACGATTTCTTGGTTTTCTTCTCCTTATCCGCCCCTGTTGTGGTATCCCGGCCGCCCAACTTCTTCTGCAGGACTCCGAGCCAGACGCCCTGGTGCTGGCGAAGGCCTCTTGATGCCATGCTGCATAGGCACCAAGAGGTCACCACCTTTGCCACCACCCTCGTCATCCGCTTCGCATCCTCGGCCGCTCGCGACTCTGCCGGAAGCGCTTTCAGCAGCGCATCCGACAGGGGCAGAATCCACGCTTCCTTGTCATGCTCCTGATCCTTTACCGACCTCATCGCCTCAACCGCAACGCAAGCAATCGAGGCTGCAAGCGTCGCTAGGGCATTGTGGACGGCAGAGGGCACATCGGCCGCAGAAGATGACGAGGCAGCCGACGAGGCGGTGGCAGCAGTGGACGATCTGGCAGCAAAAGATGCTATGGCCGTAGAAGTTCCACGTACAGCTGTTGTTGCGCCCGTCTCCCACTGGGTCTGGTCCACATTCGTGGATGCGGCCCACATTACAGACAACGTGGCGGCAAGTCCGATTGCGTGTTCTTCCGTCGAATAGCCGTTTTCACCCTCCACGCCTCCCACCATCTTCTGCCACGCAGTTATTCCGACACCAGCGCAGGCAGCTACCTGAAAGCCATCCCCCTGCTGCTGCCGAAGAGCCGTGTTGGTTTGAACGAGTGAGAATCTGCACAAGACACCAGTGTCGCAAGATCAGAACCATCGGACTTCGCGGGTGTTTAGAAGTTGCAACTGTCCATCACATAAACACTCACCCATCCGGTTTGTCCAGGTGGAGTTCGTTGATGACGCTCCACACCCCTGTTGGAAGCCACGTTGTGAAGTCGAGGTCTTCCCGCCACTTGTTAATACGGTTTGGATTCATGCCGTATGCCTGCATGTCAATATCCGGGAAGTAGAACTTCCAGCAGACTGCGACCGTGTATGCCCTCTCCCACACCGTTTTGTGAGAGCCGAGGTTCCGCTTCCGGCCGCCGACGGTCTGCTCAGACGTCCACTTCTGCAAAGCTCCCTCGCCCTGTTGAGAGAACCCGCTTCCCCTGAACGGCAGGCAGACACCCAAAGTCTTACCCTTGTCGTCCACTACGGCGTTTTTCCTGTTGTCACACTTGTCGATCTTCATCCCTTTCTTTTCCCCTTGGATTATGGGTATCAACTCCTGTATTCTAGCTGCACGCCGTCTCTTAGCCGCATGACCCTCCGGCTCCCTGTCCTCTTGTCTAGGCCGCCTCCTGGACACCTCTACATTCCGTACAGGAACACTAGCCACGCCCTCTGCTACATTCGCCTCCCCGCTCTCAATCAACAGCAAACTCCCCAGCCCCTCTGCTATTTCCTCCTCGACTCCTGTCCAGGTCCCCTCCCCCTGCATGGTCAAATCCTCCTCTTCCATCTCCCTTGCCAATCGTTCCGTCTCTTCAGCCATCGCCTTTGCCTTTGCCTCCAGTTGCCGCTGCTGTTCCGCGTAGGATGCAAGTCTGGCCCTCTTCTCTGCTCGGCACTGCTCCGCCTTCTGCAGGCGCTCCATCTCCTGCTGTTTCACCCTCTGCTGCCGCTCGACCTCTTCTGCCTCCTTCTTCTGCGCTTCCTCCTTCTGCAGGCGCTCCATCTCCTGCTGTTTCGCCCTATGCTGCCGCTCGGCCTCCTCTGCCTCCTTCTTCTGCGCTTCCTCCTTCTGCAGGCGCTCCATCTCCTGCTGTTTCGCCCTCTGCTGCCGCTCCGCCTCCTCTGCCTCCTTCTGCGCTTCCTCCTTCTGCAGGCGCTCGATCTCCTGCTGTTTCGCCCTCTGCTGCCGCTCGGCCTCCTCTGCCTCCTTCTTTTGCGCTTCCTCCTTCTGCAGGCGCTCCATCTCCTGCTGTTTCGCCCTCTGCTGCCGCTCGGCCTCCTCTACCTCCTTCTTATGCGCTTCCTCCTTCTGCAGGCGCTCCATCTCCTGCTGTTTCGCCCGCTGCTGCCGCTCGGCCTCGTCTGCCTCCTTCTGCGCCTCCTCCATCTGCAGACGCTCCATGTCCTGCTGATTCGCCCGCTGCTGCCGCTCGGCCTCCTCTGCCTCCTTCTTCTGCGTCTCCTCCTTCTGCAGGCGGTCCAATTCCTGCTGTTTCGCCCTCTGACGCCGCTCTACCTCCTCTGCCTCCTTCCTCTGCCTCTCCTCCTCCTACAGGCGCGCCATCTCCTGCTGTTTCTCCCTCTCCTGCCTCTCGGCCTCCTCTGCATCTTTCCGCTGCGCCTCCTCCTTCTGCAGGAGCGCCATCTCTTGCTGTTTCTCCCTCTCCACCCGCTTTGCTTCCTCTGCCTCCTTCCTCTGCGCATCCTCCTTCTGTCGCCGATCTCCCTCCGTTGCCTTCCTACCCTGCTCCTCCTTTTGCCGCCGCTCTGCGTCCAATCTCAGAACCATTGACAGCCGCTTTTCCACCTCACTTAGCATCCCCTCCTTCCACCCCTTAATCCCCGTCTTCATCTCCTTCACAGCCTCCATCACTTCCTTCATTCCCGCCTCCACCTCCTTCTGCCGTCGCTCTTCCTCCTGATGTTTCTTCTTCCTCCGCCGCTCTGTGGCCTCTACATCCTTCCTCTTCACCTCCTCCTCCTTCCGCCATTGCTCGTCCAGTTGTTTCCTCTTGTGTCTCTCCTCGTCGTCTGCCACTTGTTTCCTCTTCGCGTCCTGCTGTTGTCGCCGCTCCGCGTCCACTTGCCTCTCCTTCTTCTGCCGCTCGGATTCTTCTCGCAAAACCGCGTTCAACCTCCCCACAATCTGGTTTACCATCCCATCCTTCATCTCCTTCATTCCTGCCTTCATCTCCTTCATCATCGCCTCCTTCATCTCCTTCATTCCCTCTCTCATCTCCTTCTGCCGACGCGCTTCCTCCTGCTGTTCTTCCTTCTTCCGTCTCTCTGCGGCGTCTGCTTCCTTCCTCGTGGCCTTCTGCCTCCGCTCCTCGTCCTGCAGTCTATCACTGTTCCGCCGCTCAGAGTCTTCTCTCAGAACCTCTCTCAACCTCTCTTCCACCCCCTTTAACGTGCCCTCCGCCATCCCCCCTCCCGACTGGCAAACCTGATCACTCACCCTTACGATACTCTCCTGCAAGTTGGAGAGTCTCGTGTCCACCTCCTCGCGAAACCTGGCCGCCGTTTCAGCTTGGCGCCGCCGTTCCTTGTTTCCATGGCGGACTTCTTCCAGGTTGGCCAGGGCGTCGCGACAGTAATGGACGGTCAGATCGGCCACGTCGCGACTGATGCTACTGTTGCGGGCCGCCAAGTTCCAGAACGTCTGCGTCACCATTCGGGCTAAGAGCGTCAGACGACGCGTTACCTCTGCCGGGCTTATGTCCCAGCTTTCGGCCTCGACGAATCTGTCTCCTTGTTCGACCAGGACTGTACTCGTCCGATGCAGCATCCGCCGTATTGCCGTCTCTGCCTCGACCCACTCTACCTGCCAAAACGCTTCTGCCACCCCGCCTTGGCCGAGATTCCTCTCCACTGCTCTCTGGTGAAGGGTGGGCCGCCTCTGCCTGTTGAGATCCACTGTATCCCTAGGCGCCCCATCGTCTGCCACCCTCCATGGCCCCTCTACCCCGGTTCCTGGTCCCCGCGTCGGACTTCCTCCCAAAAATATCCGGACTGCCGGATGTACCGTATCCTCCTCATTCTGCTCCTCTTCTGTTTCCAGCGCATCTCCCTCGTAGTGCCCCACTCCAGCCTCCGGGACGACACGAACCTCCTCCATAGTATTTTGACGCCCTGTCTCTGCCATGCTCTGCGTCTCTCGGTATGCGAATACCTGCGACGCTGCCTCCTCGTTATGCTGCCCCTCTTCCTCTGCGATGATGTGCCCCTCAGCACCCGCCGTCTCCCGTCCCTCTGTCTGTACCATTTTATTCCCATCTGAACCGTCCTCTCCATCTGGCTTCCTACGTGCGTCTGCCTCAGCCTGCTTCTGCTCCTCGGCCTTTGCCATCTTATGCGCCTCACCCTCCGCCTTCTTCTGCGCCTCTACAACAGCCTTCTTCCGCGCTTCTGCCCGAGCCAGTTGTAGTGCCTCTTCCGCTGCCTGTTTCCGCTCCTCTGCCTCCGCCTTCTGCCGCGCCGCTGCTTCTGCCTTATTCCGAGCCTCTCCTTCCTTATGTGCGTCTGCCTCCTCCATATGCAGCGCCGCTGCCTTATCCTTCTCCCTCGCCGCTGCCTCTGATTCCTTCTGCGCCTCTGCCTCAACCATGTTCGGCGCCGCACCCTCCTCCTTCTGCAGCGCCGCTGCCTCTGATGCCTTCTGCGCCTCTGCCTCAACCATCTTCGGCGCCGCACCCTCCTCCTTCTGCAGCGCCGCTGCCTCTGATGCCTTCTGCGCCTCTGCCTCAACCATCTTTGGCGCCGCACCCTCCTCCTTCTGCAGCGCCGCTGCCTCTGATGCCTTCTGCGCCTCTGCCTCAACCATCTTCGGCGCCGCACCCTCCTCCTTCTGCTGCGCCGCTGCCTCTGATTCCTTTTGCGCCTCTGCCTCAACCATCCTGGGCGCCGCACCCTCATCCTTCTGCTCCGCTGCTGCCGCTGATTCCTTATGTGCGTCTGCCTCATCATTCTGCTGCGCCGCTGCCTCATCCTTCTGGCTCGCCATTGCCTCTGATTCCTTCTGCGCCACTGCCTCCACTACCATCAGCTCGACTGCCTCCGAGGTCAGCTCTGCTGCTGCACCCGCTTCTTTACGCGCGACTGCCTCCGCACCCTTGACCGCCTCTGCACCCACATTCTGCTGCGCCGCAGACTCTGCTTCCTTTGGCGCCCCGTCCTCTGCCGTAAGTGCCGCCTCTGCATCGACGAACCGATGGGCCGCATCCTCTGCATTCTGGTGCGCCTCTACCTCCACCATCTTATGAGCCTTAGCACCCGCGTTGCTCTCCTCCTTCTTTTTCGCCTCTCCCGAATTCTCTGGCACGTCGACGTCCCCTCTCTGGGCCTCTTCAGCCGCCTTCCGCTTTAGGCTGGGCAAGCAAACTTTCGCGTATCCCCTATCCTCCTCGATATGCTGCCGCACATTGCTGGCGAGCTCCTCTCCTGCCTCTCCCACGTGTGCCCTTGCAGCGGCTCGTGCCCCACGCTCCCATGCTTCACGTATGTCTCCAGTTCCCGGGAAAGAGATGGTAGGATCGGTGTCGCCATCACTGCGCCGTTGCATCTCTTCAGCCCGTCTCCTCTTGGCTTCTGCTTCGCCCATCCGCTTTTCATCAGCTGCCTTCCTCCACTGCTCCTCTGCCTGTTCGACCTGACTTGGCAGCTCCGGATCTTCTACACCCTCCTCGCCTTCATCTGCTACACTTGCCAAGTCGGTCTCCGTCCGTGCTTCGCGTTCCCGCGGCCTCCTAACCCGATCAGCAAACCTGAGCTGCCTAACTCCAGACCTATCACGCTCATCCGCAGTGGCTGACCTTGATGTCGGGCCACTCAGTAGTGCATCCCCCGGTGCAGGTCGGCGGGAATATGAAATAAACCCAACTCTTGGATTTGCGTCCCGGTTTGCGGCAGGTACGTCTATCTGTCCCTCTACCGCTTTGGATCTGTTCTGTGCGGGTGCGCTCTCTACCACTCGAGCACAGTGGGTCGTCATGACTGCATCCGGGGCGGGACGGAGCTGGACTCCTTGCAGGTCGAAGAAGGCCCTGCAGGTCGACTCCAGCATACTCCAAATTTCTTTCGCGCTGTTTTTCCCCTTCCCTAAGACCATCATCGGCTCTACAGACTGAATCGCCATGACATCCCCCCATTTGTCCAGCAACTTGCTGAACACATGGGTAACGTGCAGCCCGGAACCCACTTGCCTCTGTCCCTGAACCTTGTTGATCTGCAACATGTGCGTGAAAAGGTGGTTGTGAGAAACTCCCGTAACTTTATACAAGCTTAATATGATAGTGGGCTTAAATCATACAAATAGAGGCTCCTTACCCTGCCTTCCTGCAGAATCAGATCATCTAGGCGAGCCCTCAAATCTTTCTGCACCGCTTCGGCGTGGCTGCCAGAGACCCTGCGACCTCGGCTGTATTCCACATCTAGTTGTCGGATAAGCCAGCTGCAGGGCAAGGGGGTCGCAAATAATCAATAACATGCGTCCATACAAACCGCACATCTGATTAAGGAGTGATACTTACTCGAACACCTCCTTGGCATGCTCGCTGTGGCGATGGGTTGGGATTGCAGATTTAGGGTCGAAGTGTAGCACACGCGTACGGTACTCTCCGCGGGGATGTGCTAACAAATCTTGCGGGTTCATCAGCACCATGAGACTGATCGCCGTCGAGTGAACAACAGGGACTCTGCGGTACATGGAAGTTTGGATTAGCAAGATAGCTGGTGTCATCAACAAACGTTGCGGATCCATGTCAGGAAACTCACTCTGATATCATGGGTATTAAAACCATCTGGTAGTCCAACAGCGACCGATGTTCGCTGCCACAACTGGGGACACGCGGGACGGCAGACCTCAAACGCCGATGCTCTGTAGGAGCCAGAATCTTTATGTCCCTGCGAACGCGAGGATCCCCAATCTTGTCCTTGGCAACCTCCCTGCATCCAAGCCGACATGTCGCAGAGGTAAGAAGATAGCAGGTGCCTGTCTAAAAAAACAAGGGTTCAACGTGACGATGAAGTCAGCGTGCGTTACAAACCGCGCTTGGATACATACACAAGGCCGAAAAGCAACAACGCCTCGTTCCACTCTTCCTGACGAGCGATTTACCTTTCATAAGACTCCCGCCCTAGTCATACCGACAATCCGCAGCCGTCTGTGATTAGCTGGGACGACATCGCGTAAGTATGCCAGAAGATGGCAGGTAGCTAAACAGTTACTACCATACACTGTCCGCCTGCAGGATTAGAGGCCGACACTAGAATGAGAGGGAAGCTTGTGAGGCTAGTTGTGGAACCTCGACTCAGATTGGAATGGCGAGAATGACGTTGAGCTTTGGTGCACCCACCCTGATCCCAACTTCTGCTTCGCTGGTAGAATTGGTTGTGCTCTGTCCTCAAAGAAGGTGGGAAAGGCTTTGCTACAAACGCCAGGCGTAGTAAGAATTTTCTGCCCCCTGGCTCAAAATATTAGGCTTCTCACCATTTCCCTTCGAACATCTGCGAACTACTCTTTGCATCCTTCTGCAATGATTTATCTATTTGTCGCCAGATTGTTCTCCTAAATGTTTTACTTCAGTTGCTGGTTGGTTGATTGCCAACCTTATATGCCATGTTAGCATATTGCATGTTCTGCGGTGCATTGCATGGTCTCAGCTTTGCCTCGACCTAGTACGAAATGGTGACGGGCAGCCCCTAAAAAAAAGAATGGTGTCCTGTGACAGGTTAATGACAGGCTGCCACGTATAGCTATCCCATCCGCATGGTTCCCTCCGCAACCTGGAAATAGAGCTGTCTCTGCGACCTGTCACACGTGTCAGAAACCGAATGACACCCTATATCCGAGAGTACCGCTATAGGGGTACTCGTGTAGCACGTATAGTACTAGTTTTTGTAACCCATAAAACAAACACAAGCATGAACTTTGCATGATTAGCACACCCAATTCTATAACGGGTAATCCTATAAGTGTGAGATGAGTGCCCTATCATTAGCACCCGTATAACAGTGGCATTTGAATACAAAACAAATGTTATACATTTCACCAAAGTGATCTGCTCCCGCCTGCAGAGGAGAGAGTGAAAAACATACTACACGTCTACGAAATGAGGTGAATTTTAGGTGGGGTCTGGAATATGTGTGGTGAGAGTCCCCTATAAAAATCAGCTCATTTGCTCAAGGAGAAGTGGGTCATTTCAAATGAAACCTGATTCCAGGCAATTCTGCCCATAATGCTGCAGACTGGTGCACAAGGCTTAAAGAACATATCAAACCTTGGGTAAATGAGATGAATTTCAGGTGGGGGTCTGGAATATGTGTGGTGAGAGTCCCCTATAAAAATCAGCTCATTTGCTCAAGGAGAAGTGGGTGATTTCAATTGAAACCTGATTCCAGGCAATTCTGCACAGAATTCTGCAGACTGCTGCACAACAAGGCTTAAACAACCAATCAAACCTTGGGTAAATGAGGTGAATTTCAAGTGGGGGTCTGGAATATGTGTGGTGAGAGTCCCCTATAAAAATCAGCTCATTTGCTCAAGGAAAAGTGGGTTATTTCAAATGAAACCCGATTCCAGGAAATTCTGCCCATAATGCTGCAGACTGGTGCACAACAAGGCTTAAAGAACATATCAAACCTTGGGTAAATGAGATGAATTTCAGGTGGGGGTCTGGAATATGTGTGGTGAGAGTCCCCTATAAAAATCAGCTCATTTTCTCAAGGAGAGGTGGGTGATTTCAAATGAAACCTGATTCCAGGCAATTCTGCACAGAATTCTGCAGACTGCTGCACAACAAGGCTTAAAAAACATATCAAACCTTGGGTAAATGAGATGAATTTCAGGTGAGGGTCTGGAATATCTGTGGTGCGAGTCCCCTATGAAAATCAGCTCATTTTCTCAAGGAGAAGTGGGTGATTTCAAATGAAACCTGATTCCAGGCAATTCTGCACAGAATTCTGCAGACTGCTGCACAGAAAGGCTTAAAACACATATCAAACCTTGGGCAAATGAGGTGAATTTCATTTGGGGGTCTGTAATATGTGTGTTGAGAGTCCCCTATAAAAATCAGCTCATTTTCTCAAGGACAAGTGAGTGTTTTCAATTCAAACCTGATTCTAGGCAATTCTGCACAGAATTCTGCAGACTGCTGCACAACAAGGCTATAAAAACATATCAAACCTTGGGTAAATGGGGTGAATTTCAAGTGGAGGTCTGGAATATGTGTGGCAAGAGTTCCCTATAAAAATCAGCTCATTTGCTCAAGGAGAAGTGGGTGATTTCAATTGAAACCTGATTCTAGGCAATTCTGCACAGAATTCTGCAGACTGCTGCACAACAAGGCTTAAAAAACCTATCAAACCTTGGGTAAATGAGATGAATTTCAGGTGGAGGTCTGGAATATGTGTGGTGAGAGTTCCCTATAAAAATCAGCTCATTTGCTCAAGGAGAAGTGGGTCATTTCAAATGAAACCCGATTCCAGGAAATTCTGCCCATAATGCTGCAGACTGGTGCACAACAAGGCTTAAAGAACATATCAAACCTTGGGTAAATGAGATGAATTTCAGGTGGGGGTCTGGAATATGTGTGGTGAGAGTCCCCTATAAAAATCAGCTCATTTTGTCAAGGAGAGGTGGGTGATTTCAAATGAAACCTGATTCCAGGCAATTCTGCACAGAATTCTGCAGACTGCTGCACAACAAGGCTTTAAAAACATATCAAACCTTGGGTAAATGAGATGAATTTCAGTTGAGGGTCTGGAATATCTGTGGTGCGAGTCCCCTATGAAAATCAGCTCATTTTCTCAAGGAGAAGTGGGTGATTTCAAATGAAACCTGGTTCCAGGCAATTCTGCACAGAATTCTGCAGACTGCTGCACAGAAAGGCTTAAAACACATATCAAACCTTGGGCAAATGAGGTGAATTTCATTTGGGGGTCTGGAATATGTGTTTTGAGAGTCCCCTATAAAAATCAGCTCATTTGCTCAAGGAGAAGTGAGTGTTTTCAATTCAAACCTGATTCTAGGCAATTCTGCACAGAATTCTGCAGACTGCTGCACAACAAGGCTTTAAAAACATATCAAACCTTGGGTAAATGGGGTGAATTTCAAGTGGAGGTCTGGAATATGTGTGGCAAGAGTCCCCTATAAAAATCAGCTCATTTGCTCAAGGAGAAGTGGGTGATTTCAATTGAAACCTGATTCTAGGCAATTCTGCACAGAATTCTGCAGACTGCTGCACAACAAGGCTTAAAAAACCTATCAAACCTTGGGTAAATGAGGTGAATTTCAGGTGGGGGTCTGGAATATGTGTGGTGAGAGTCCCCTATAAAAATCAGCTCATTTTCTCAAGGAGAAGTGGGTGATTACAATTGAAACCTGATTCCAGGCAATTCTGCACAGAATTCTGCAGACTGCTTCACAACAAGGCTTTAAAAACCTATCAAACCTTCGGTAAATGAGATGAATTTCAGGTGGGGGTCTGGAATATGTGTGGTGAGAGGCCCCTATAAAAATCAGCTCATTTGCTCAAGGAGAAGTGGGTGCTTTCAATTGAAACCTAAATCCAGGCATTTCTCTACAGATTTCTGCACCCGCCTACAGAATATAACATGAAAGGCATGGCAAACCTTGATGAAATGAAGTGAAAACTGGATAGGGATCAGGACTAGGTGTTATGACAGTGCCCTATCAAAATGGGCTCATTTTCCCAAGGAGAAGTGGGTGATTTCACCAGACACATCACAGCAGGCAGCTCAACACTAACTTCCTTGCAAGAAAAAGTCCACCAAATCAGTTTGCATATAGCTGAAAATGTTCAGGGGGGCTGGAACAGGTGTCATAACACTAACAATGCTAAAAAAAATGGTCACCACATAACACATGTGTGTGATGCCCAGAGAATGACTTTACATGTGCTATGAGCAATCTTAGTTGACCCACAAGTGACAAAATGGAACAAATTTGACAAAATAACAAACTCATGCCCGCTGGTAGAGGACATCAAGGAGATGCTGGAAATCCATATTTGTGTGCAAATGACCAACAAATTATGGAGTTATGAGCCAAACCATATAGAATGTTGACTTAGCCATTTTGACATTCTGCTTGTCAGAATTACACCAAAGTGTCAACAACAAGGTTTATCTACAAATACTGTACAACAGTGGTTGCGACGTCGCTTTCGTGCGACCGTCGATAATCCAAACCGGTAGTGTAACCACTCTTGTGCCCATTTCGTTGCGCCATCAGGTGGTTTGGATTTTGTAAGATCCAACACCCTTTTGCGCCGAATCCGAGTCAAATCCGAGTAAAATCGTCTCGCCACGGGCAAAATGGAGTTTCGCCAAAAAAAATGAATCCCGGTCGAAGCAGAGGATCCGAGTGCTGCTTCCGCCTTTGGCCCGCCCTTCCCCCGTCAGGTGGAATGGATTTCTAGGGTTCCTCCCTCCACCGTCAGGGCGCTGCTGGGTCAAGCCCTAGCCCATCTCTTGGCCAACCTCCAGTTTGGCTGGGCTGGAGGGTTGGGCTGGAGGTAGGCTCGACGCTTGCGAGAATGCGAAGAAAGTTGGATATTTCGGGGGTCCCAAACACTTATTGTAGATGGCATGTTCGACAGGCAACGGAGGGTTAGTATGGTTCGGGAGAGTTTGCCAGGCTCGGCATCCATTTGGGGGCTGACCAGGAAAAAAAACTCGAAATCGAAACAGCCCCGATAGTTCCGCCGAAGGGCTTGGCTGCCTGTCGAGCAGGGCCAGAGTCTGCCCAACAACCTTCCTATGTTCGCGAGATTTCCCCGTTTGTTACAATCCGGTGGCAACCACCGCAGAGAGGTGTGTCCCAGGTTTTGGCGTCATTGGGAAAAACCCCTTTCACTCACCAGAACAGAAACCCGTTTCGGGGATTGTGGTACTTCCATGACGGTACGTTGATGTTTCCACACGAATATCCTTTTTTAGTCAGTTTACCGCCTTTGACCGTAACAAACCACATAGAACCGTGGAATGTGAACAGAGAATCGCCGCACCCCCATCTCAAATCGCCCTCTTCCCGGTCCACCCAGCTCAGAGCCAGCAGCTCCCTTGCCCCAACCCTCCCATAACTCCCATAACCAGCTTCGCATTATTTCCCTTACTCCCAAGGTAGTGTCACATTAGCTCCGCACCCGATCCTGCTGCCTGTTAGCCTCGACTCCACCTAATCTTGAGCTAGGAGTAGTATCGCAGCCCAACAACAGCTTGGCACGACTGATTCTCTTTCTTAATACAGATAGTCTACGTGTCTTGAAGGATGGGGCCTCCTCGTGGGAGAGGTACGCGCCGGCTTCTCGTCTTATTTTTTTCTGTTGTCAGCTGACGGCGCTAATTGTCATAGCACGCTGCATTGCATTTTTCGGAACGTTCAACCATTTGGTGATCACACGTGCCATTCATTTGCTCGTTTTTTTCTGTTACTCTATGTTCAGGCGGGTTCGGCGGCGGGTTTGGCGGCAGAGGCGGCGGAGGAGGTCGCGGAGGATTCGGCGGAAGGGGTGGAGGTGGAGGCCGCGGGGGTTTCGGCGGACGTGGCGGGGGCCGAGGGGGCGGAAGGGGTAGAGGGGGAGGCCGCGGAGGCGGAAGAGGCGGAGGTCGTGGGGGCATGAAGGGCGGAGCCAAGGTTGTTGTTGAACCCCATCGCCACGAGGGCGTGTTCGTTGCTCGCGGGAAGGAGGATGCCCTCGTCACGAGGAACATGGTGCCCGGGGAGAGCGTCTACGGCGAGAAGCGAATCAGCGTCGAGGTGAGTTTGTTTCGAAATACCCACATTGTGTATCCTCGTTTGCCGTGTTCTGTGTTCGCCACATTTTCCAGCCTTTTCTTACATAAAATATTCGAATATCTCGCCCGAAACCATTGCAGCTGGAGGAGGGGAACAAGGTGGAGTACCGAGTGTGGAACCCTTTCCGATCTAAGCTCGCGGCCGCTATTCTCGGTGGCGTCGACAACATCTGGATTGTACGTACTCGTTGCAAGCTTTTGTCCCGTATTTGTATCAGACAGAAGGCGGTGTTATTGTCGAAGCTTGCCTTGTGATTCCGTTCTTATTCGGTTTGACTGTACCGTTGGTTCGCGTTGAATGCTTGCAGAAACCCGGGTCTCACGTTCTCTACCTTGGTGCTGCCTCTGGGACTACCGTCTCCCACGTCTCCGATATTGTCGGCCCGGTAAGTTTCTTCTTGAGAGGGAATTTCTACACCTGCATCCTCGCAGGTCGTGTGTGCATTCTTGCCAAGCCTGAACCCCCGGACCCTTCCCGTCTGTTTTTTTCTTTTCAATCACGGTGACTCCTCTCCCTCGTCTTGTCTGCGGCCCTTCCCTTTCTCTTTCCTCAGACGGGGATCGTGTACGCCGTGGAGTTCTCTCACCGGTCCGGTCGCGATCTCGTGAACATGGCCAAGAGGCGAACCAACGTGATTCCCATTATCGAGGATGCCAGGCACCCGCAGCGCTACCGCATGCTTGTCGGCATGGTGGATACGATCTTCGCTGACGTGGCGCAACCAGATCAGGTTCTTTTCTTTACCTGAAGCAAGGTTTGATGATACGAAGGTCAGCTGCCCTGTACGTGGCATGCTTCATTGTATGTTTTAACTTGTGCCTTTGCGGCTGCGGTGCAGGTTGAGGCAATCCGAAAGTTGTTCTTTTCTGAATCCTAGCGGGAAAGCTCCCATTCCCGCTATAAGCATTTCCACATATCGCTATAAGGGAGGAGAGTGGCCAGCGAATGATGATTGGACTGGAGTCGGATTCCCCATACACGAATGTAAAATCGTGAAATTCTGTCCTTCGAGGCTGATGCTGCGACCCACTCTCCTCCCGTACATAACGATGTTGATCTTCGTCAAACTGAGTTACTTTGTCATGCTTGCTTTCTTTTGCCGGCCTCTCTCTGATATTTCTTGAATCTTCTTTTTCTTTAATCTTCTCTGGTGGTGATGCATTTTGTTTTACCCTTATTGGGCGATACACCCTGCTTTCTCTATCGTCCCCACCAGTGGCTCCTCCTTCCCCTTGTTCTCTTCCTTCCGCTGCCTTGTTTCCCCCCCAAACCCCCCTCCCCATTGCCTCCCCCGATTCCCCCTTGCTTCCCGTTGCCCTACCGCCTGTTTCCCCTTGCCGTCCCTCCCACTCCCTGTCAACATCCCTCCCCCTCGTTATAAACCCCCTCAGGCTCGTATTGTTGCCTTGAACGCTCACTACTTCCTCAAGACTGGCGGGCACTTCGTTATAAGCATCAAGGCCAACTGTATCGATTCTACAGTACCCGCAGAAGCAGTTTTCGCGAAAGAGGTGGCGAAATTGCAGCAGGAGCAGTTCAAGCCAGCTGAGCAGCTGACGCTGGAGCCATATGAAAGAGACCACGCTTGTGTGGTGGGTGGTTACCGCATGCCCAAGAAGAAAAAGGATGCTAAATAGATGGCCTGTTTTCAATGTGACATTATCCAATAATAACCGTATTTTTTCGTACATCTCTACCAACTGTGAAAGATTTCTTTAGAGCAGAGACTGGTATTTGGAAGACAGAACAGGCACACCTTGTCACATCATGTGCATGCATGAAACCTGCCTGATGTGCCAGTTTTCAAAATCTGAACCAATCTCCTATGGTGTTGTTGAAACAACCAGGCAACTTAATTTGTTGGAAGATGTTACAATCCCAAGTGGGACTTAGCAAAGGATCGCTCAGGGTTGATCGCGGAGTAGTGTTGCAGCGGAAGTTTGAATCTCAGGTCAGAGTGAATGTAAATGACTGAGTTGATAATAGCATGCATACATCGAGCTTATATAAGAGTACAAGGGAATACGAAAGGACCTACCGTATGGCCCCGGATAGAAGCGCAGGCCTATGTTAAGCGCATGCCATTGTATCTGGAGCAATGCGCTTATGGCCGATCCTCAATTATAAGCGCACCCCTTTGGAAATCTTGACTTATTATAAGCGCACCCTTATAGTTAAAAAAAAAAAAAAATAATAATTTTTTTTACCTACCTAGCCTACATGTTTTAAACTTTCCATTAAGTTTGACAATCACATACAAGGGTGGTCTCTGCTGTCCTCCACTACACACCTTTCAACCTGCCTAGTCTACCCTACTGCCTATTCTTCCTCCTCGTCCGACTCAGGCTTCGTAGAATTGTTGCCCCAGAACCCATCTGCCTGGATGTCGTCGTCCACCTCCACCTCATGGGACAACTGGCACCCACCTTCGGTGCGCCAGCACCAGTTTGTCTTCGCTCCCATCAAGGGCGTTGCTGATGCCGCAAGTGAGGAAGGCTTTCTTGATGAGGTCGGCGGGCACCGCTTTCCAGGCCCGTGAAATCCACTTGAGCACCACCTCCGGAGGTGGTTTCTTGATGTTCCTGTCAAATGTTGTAGCCTATAGTGAGGTTTGTCTTAGGGGGTACAGAAGTTAGGGTTTGTTATATGTACCCCAACCAACATCAATGGCATCATCCATTCCTCATTCTGACATGGTATCAGCTACGTTAGGATCCTGTGGGATCCCGTTCCTCCGTTCTCCGTTCGTACCTCCCGAGCCTGACCCTACCTCTCGTTCGTACCAGTTCCGTTGTTACCGCGCCTAGTACCGAGCCTAGCGCCCTTTCCCCCCGTCGCTTAGCGCCCTTTCTCCCCGTTACCTAGCGCCCTTTCCCCCCCCCCCCCCCCGTCGCGTCGCCCTGTCCCGTCGCGTCGCGCCCTTTCCCCCCGTCGCGTCGCGCCCTTTCCCCCCGTCGCGTCGCGCCCTTTCCCCTCGTCGCGTCGCGCCCGTTCCCCCCGTCGCGTCGTGCCCGCCCGTTCCCCCCCGTCGCGTCGTGCCCGCCCGTTCCCCCCCGTCCCGTCGCCCTGTCCCGTCGCGTCGCCCTGCCCCGTCGCGTCGCCCTGCCCCGTCCCGTAGCCCTGTCCCGTCCCATCGCCCTGCCCCGTCGCGTCGCCCTGCCCCGTCGCGTCGCTCCCGCCCTTTCTCCCGTCCCGTCGACCTGCCCTACGCCCTAGCCCGTCGCCCTACTCTAAGCCCTGGCCCGTCGCCCTACCCTAAGCCCTGCCCCGTCGCCCTTCCCTCCGCCCTGGCCCGTCGCCCTTCCCTACGCCCTGGCCCGTCGCCCTACCCTAAGCCCTGGCCCGTTGCCCTACCCTACGCCCTGGCCGGTTGCCCTACCCTACGCCCTGGCCCGTCGCCCTAGCCCGCTCTTCCGCTGCGACTGAGTCCTCTTCCTCCCGGTTGTTACTCGCCTGTTCGTTTGCGTTAGTTCTCACTATGGCGACTCCGCGAGTTCTTCGTTTCGACGCTGACGGTAGACCCCTTGACTTTTCCGTCTGGCTTCTTCGCGCTCGCCGTCTGTTAGAGAGTCAGGTCCAGGGAGGCGAGACCCTCTGGTCGCACGCTACTGGTGACCTCCCCGAGCCCCCCGAGCCTACAGCTTTAGGCTCTGCCCCTGACGACGCTGCTACGGCTTGCTTTGCCCGTCAGCGCGCTGACCGGACGGCTTGGACGTCGCGTGACGCTGCGGCCTGCATCGCACTCAGCAGCCTCCTCCCTGAGTCAGAGGAGGTCCACTTTACTCAGGTTTGCACCGCTGCTGCGTACCTCACTGCGATTAAGGCCCGCTACTCTACTCCCGCTACTGTCTCTCTTGGCCGTCTTTTCCTCCCGTTCCTGTTTCCAGATCTCGCCTCGTTTGAGCGCTCTGCTGACTTGATCGCTCACCTCCGCTCGCTCGACGCTAGTTACCGCGCTGCTTGCACTGAGGCACAGCTTGCACTGCTTCCTCCCCCCATGGCGATTACTGTCTATTTCATCGCCACTAGCCTCCCTGACCGCCTAGCCTCCGTTCGTGACGCGCTTCTGCTGAAGCACCCTAGTGAGCTGACTATCGAGGTCCTTGAGTCTGCACTCAAGGACGTCGAGAGCAACCTTCGCTCGGTAGCTGCCGCCTCTGGTACTGTGTCCCCCCCACTCTTCCACGGGTGCACAGTCCCGCAGTTACCCACCTTCACTGCCTCTCTCGCCACTGCCGCTACTGACGCGACTGCGGCTGCTGTTACGACTGCGTCGCGGTCCCGCGGCAAGGGGGGCAAGAAAGGTAGTTCTGGTGGAGGTGGAGGTGGAGGTAGCGGAGGTAGTGGGGGTGCTGTTGCGACTGGCGGTGGTGGGAGTGCAGCGTCTGGAGAGACCCCTCGTGCAGCGGCTAGTGACTCCACTGCGCCTGCTGGTGGCGGCGACCCCCGAGCTCGTCAGTCGCCTCGTGTACTGCCGGCCCCGCTAGGTGGAGCAGCGGCGTGGTACCAGGCTCAGCGGCAGCAGCACCTTCAGCAGCAGCAGCAGCCCCTTTCCTCCCAGCAGCCTCAGCAGCAGCAGCGTCAGCAGCTGGCTCCGGGGTCGGGGCTGCGTCAGCCCCAGCGCGGTACTGCTTACCCTCCCTGCCCCTACCAGGTTCTGACAGGTCCTCGTCGGGGCCACCCTTGTGGCCGCTTTCACCCCCCTGGTCAGTGCTTTGCTCAGCTCACTGACACGGTCCGGTTGGCCTACGGGGTTGGCGGTCCTGCTCCTGACTGGCTTCCTCTGGTTCAGCGCTACGGCTCCGCTCTGTGGGGCATGTCTGCTGAGCAGTTAGTTGATCTGATTAGTGCTCCTCATGCTATGTATGCTGTTGTTGACTCTAGTGTTTCTGACTCTGTTTACTCTGGTGTTGTTAGCTTAGGTGCTAGTCTTGCTCAGTTGCCTGTTGCTAGTGTAGGTTCTTGTGTAGACTCTAGACCAGCGACTACCTCAGAGGACGCTTCGCTGTCGTTCACGCTGGACTCTGGGGCCTCCCACTGCTTCTTCCGGGACAGCACGACACTTACACCACTTCCTGCGCCTGTTTCTGTTGCGTTGGCTGATCCCACTACGGGACCAGTCACTGCACGTCACACTACCACTTTACCGTGTCCTGCTGCTCCCTCCGGGTCTCTGACTGGGTTTCACGTCCCCTCGTTCTCCCGGAACTTGGTGGGCGTGCGACCCCTCGTGAGTCAGCACATGGGTGTGTGGTTTGAGCCTTCTGGAGAGACTGCGGTGTGTGTTGACGGAGACTCTTACCAGCCTCTTGCTACCTTTACTGCTGAGCCGGGCTCGGGCCTCTACACTCTTCACACTGGCCCGCGTGCGCCGCAGCAGCAGCCGCAGCAGCAGCAGCAGCCGCAGCCGCAGCAGCAGCAGCAGCACCAGCAGCAGCACCAGCGGCCGCACCAGCAGCCCCCCCTACTGCCACTGCCCCCGGTCCCCCCCCCCGTTCGGGTCCCCGCGTCTCACCAGGTCGCTTCGTCCCCCCAGGTGTCTGTGTCGTGTCTGGTTCCTACGTCTGTTCCAGTCGCTGCGTCGTGCTCCTGCCGGTCGCTTGCCCACCCCACCGTTCTGTGGCACCACCGGATGGGGCACCCGTCTCTTCCTCGTCTGCGCGCTATGTCCAGTCAGCGTCTTGTCCTAGGCCTCCCACGTGTCTTGCCGTCGCTGCCGCCTTCGCTTGCGCCGCCGTGTGGTCCCTGCGTCGAGGGTCGGCTACGCGCCACCCCTCACTCCTCCCTACGTCCGGCCACCGAGCCTTTTGAGACGCTTCACTTGGACGTCTGGGGCCCCGCCCCTCGTCTAGGCCCTGAGCGTGAGCGTTACTTTCTGGTGGTCGTTGACGACTTCTCCCGCTACACCACAGTGTTCCCTCTGGCGAAGAAATCTGAGGTGACTTCTACGCTGATCAGGTGGTTGCTCACCACCGAGGACACTCGTGGTCGTCGTGTCAGCTGTCTCCACTCCGACCGTGGGGGTGAGTTTCGCTCCGGCATTCTCGCTGGACTCTGTCGCGAACAGGGCATTCGTCAGTCCTGGACGCTTCCAGAGTCCCCACAGCAGAATGGGGTTGCTGAGCGCCGCATAGGCCTGGTCATGGAGATCGCCCGCACCTCCCTGACTCACGCCTGTGCCCCCCATTTTCTGTGGCCCTACGCGGTCAGGTACGCCGCGCACCAGCTGAACCTCTGGCCACGTGTCTCTCGACCAGAGGTGTCACCGACCAGTCTTTGGTTAGGGTCCCCTGGTGTTGCGTCGCGGTTTCGCGTCTGGGGGTGCTTGGCTCTTGTCCGCGACACCTCAGCGGACAAGCTCTCGCCTCGTGCCGTCCCCTGTGTCTTCCTTGGTTTTCCTGAGGACTCCTCTGACTTCACCTTTTACCACCCTCCCTCTCACCGGTTCTTTGACTCCCGTGACGTCCGTTTCGAGGAGTCCACTCCGTACTACGTCAGGTACCCCAGTCGAGGTCTCCCGGTTCCTCCTCCCCCCTTCTTCCTGACTGCAGCCCCCCCTCCTGCTCCCCCGGTACAGCCTCCCCCCCCTGGTCCAGCCCCGTCAGGTGTGTCCCAGGCTACCCCTCCTCCTTCGGTA